AAATGAAGGCTGAACAACAACATGATACAGTCCCTGGCACACAGTAGGTGGTCAATTAGTGCTTTTTGCTACATCCATCTGTCAGCCTGTCCTAAGCCCATGTTCTGGTCTCAGTCAATCATTTGCTGAGTAATTTGGGCACAATCAAGGAAGGAAAGGGAAGTGACTGAGCACCTGGTGCTAGTGCTATACTTCACAAATACCTCGTGAGCACCTGGTGCTAGTGCTATACTTCACAAATACCTCGTGAGCACCTGGTGCTAGTGCTATACTTCACAAATACCTCGTTTGGTCCTCACGATAAGGTAGGTGCTATCCTCATTTTATAACTGAGGAAACTGAGGCAAACAGACGTTAAATGACTTGCCCCGGGTCACACTGCTAGCTAGTAAGTATCTGAAGTTGGATTTGAACTCAGGTCTTCCTGATTTCAAGGTCCAGCCCTCCATGCACTGTACCATCAAGAGAGATAGGAAGCCTGACCTCAGAGTTTAGTCTGTTGGTACTCTTATGTGAAACAAAAAAGAGTGACTATGAAGGACAGGCTTTAAGTTCCACGAGGTTCTCAGAAGGGACAGATCAGCGTGAGCTGCAGAGACTGCCATGGAGGACATTCCAAAACCACCCCAAAGGCAGAAAACCAGTCCGGCCTCAGTCCCTCTAGTGGAGCCCCTAGAGCCAGGAGCTCCCCTCCCCAGGAGGATCCGGGAGCCCTCGGGGCTCTGGGCAGGGTGGAAGGGACTGATTTCTGCCCTTGCTGACTGATTTTTCTCAAGGCTTTTCGCTTTCACTCCCACTTCCACTTTTTGGCTTGTTCTGCTTGGTGGGGGCTGGGGGGCTGTTATGAGTTCAGTGGAGCTAGCAGAAGAGGAAATCCTGATGCAATGTTACATGTCACCCAGGCAAGCTTCTTACAGAATCAGGGCACAAGAAAAGGGGGGCTCCAGGAGTCACCTCATCTATCTTCCTGTATAGCAGTTAACCTGGAGTGGGGGAGGTGCCAAGGAAGGGGGCCGCCGTCCTGTTTTTTAAGATTTCCTTGAAATGGGTTAGAGTTTCCCCTCACCTAGTTCCAGGCAGACTGGTAAGAAAAAGGGTTTAGGGTAGTAGGTTAGGTCATGTGGTGTGGGGTCTCTGTGTACGTACATGGTTCGTACCATGAGGTGGCAGGACCTTTTCCCAGAAAGGGAAAGAAAACCACCAAGCGTCCCACAGCATGGCAGGACGCACAGCCCAAAAAAGGGCCTCAAACCCCATACTGGTCTGTTGCCCAGTCCCTCCAACCCAGGCTCACACAATTCAGCCAGCCCTACCCCACAAACTTCAAAGTGCTTTCAGTGGGGGAACCAGGGCAGCTGACAAAATCCCTGATTCCCCTTCCTTTTCCCCTAATCGGGGAGAAAGAGGATGTGAGAGAATGGGGGAGGGGACCATGAGTCCTTTCTTTGTAAGGGATGGGAGGATGGGCAGGAGAGGTCAGGACTTTCAAGGGCTTTCCCTTGAGCCTTCACTGCCAGGGTGGTCTTGGACCGTGTACCCGGTAGAGGATTCTAGGACAGAAAAAGGAAGGGCCCTTTGAGACCATCTGCCCCCTTCATTTTATCAGTGAGGAAACTGAGGCTCAGAGGTTCAGTGACTTGTCCAAGGTCACACAGCTAGTAAGTGGCAGAGTTGGGATTTGAACCCAGGTCACTTGAACCCAGACTCTGACTGTATTTTTTCCTCCATATCATTCTGCATTCACTTACTCATGTGACACACTATGGTATGGAGAACAGGACACCTACCAGTTTCCTGGCCCTTTTCACCTTCTTGTTTGAATGTATTTGTTTACTTGTTGTCTCCTCCCATTAGACTGTAAGCTCCCTGAAGGCAGGGACAATCTTTTGAATCTTTTGTATCCCCAGCACTTAGCACAGTGCCTGGCACACTTTTGTTGTGGTTGAGTCATTCAATCACGTTCTACTGTGATGTTTAAGAAGTTCGAGAGACAGGATTTCTGGGTAATTAATCATTTTCTTAATCATGCTAGCAATAATTGATAAAAGGGGCCAGTGACACTCTTGAATACCAAAGATGCCCCGTGGAACCTACCCAATGCTTGTATTCCCTTGGAAGAGTGGGTGTTCCTGAGAGTTTTAATGGACTCTGATTAGTTAACAAGTAATGAAAAAGAATGAATATTATAAAGAGAGGTGGATCTATTTCATTGAGGGGCTGGGGGGGGGATGGGAGGGCAACTGACTTCAATCAAGTCATTTACTTCCAAATCACCCCCAGCCTTGGGCAATCTAGTCAAAGAATTTATCCCCATCCAAACCAGAGCAGAACTCAATGAGATTTCCCACCGTGGATGGGGTCTGAGCAAAATTGAGGAGAACCCAATCCAATCTCTACTGGCTCAGCACAGTTAGAGAATAAGGTTTCTGGATAGATAAATCCCCAATATTAACAGTTAGTTATTTAATAATCATTTCTCTCACACCTCTCTGTGACCCCATTTGGGGTTTTCTTGGCAGAGATACCGGAGTGGTTTGCCATTTCCTCCTCCACCTCATTTTACAGATGAAGAAACTGAGGCCAACAGGGTTCAGTGACTTGCCTAGGGTCACACAGCTAGTAAGAGGCCAGATCTAGACTCAGGAAGATAGATGAGTCTTCCTGATTTCAGGCCCGGCACTCTATCCACTGTGTCACTTAGCTGCCCCCAGTAAAGTTCTGAGTAATCTCCGTAGAGCAAGGATTGGCTTACCTGTCTTTGTATCTCAGTGGAATGGGCAGATGAGAACAATTTGTTTTAAGGGCCATGAAGGCAGCTGAAACAGGTGCTGTGGAGCACTTAGAACTTGGTCTGATCGAAGACCCCAAGGTCATCCACTGCGCTTCGGGCTATCACCAGTTGATCTGACTTTTGTCTTGTCCTTGCACTTCAATGATTCTGGAAGAGAGAATGAGGCCAAAGACTTTGCACAACTTTGCCTTTCTTAAATCCAATTCACTCTTGAGTCATTGTTTCTCTTCGGCACAAAGCAATTGTTTACTAAATGCTTGTTTTTTGATTAATCGAGACACAAAAGAACAAGGATTAGTACAATAATTAATTGTGATTCTGTGAACTGTTGGTGAAAGTCCTTCTCTTTCTTATAAACTTCCTACATCATGACATCATGAAGAGGCTTCAGCTGGAGATGCAGTGGGTCTGCCTTCTCTGGGGAGCAGAAGGGAATCTCCTCTGGTTGAGGGGAACTTGTCATTCCATTCCAGACCATTCATCCCAGAGACCTGGGTAGGCTAGATTAGTCCTGGAGAAGCCCACAAGACATTGCAAGAGGGGAGATTTTACCACCCACCTGCAAAACAGTAACAGAAGGCCCAGAATGTAATCACAATTAATTAATAGGTGTTAAACTAACTGTAAAGATGCCTCTAAGTCTTGATCCCTTTTTAAGGTGCAAATAATTCTCTGATTCAGTCAAGAACTCACTCACTAAACAAACAAAACGGCCAGGCCTGTAGGAACCTTAAATAACTATGCCTTGGACCAGTTTCAGCAGTTCCTGAAATGGCAGAGATGGAAGAGAACTCTGCAGGAGAAGGAGGAGGAAATTTCTCCCCTTTAAAGCTACATGGCTATTGGGAGAAGGGTGTAGAGAGGAGAGAGACCAGTAGGAGACACTTTATCTCACCGTGTCTAACATAGATACACTCTCCAGACAGCCATGGATGGAGTCATTTTAAGAAGGAAGCAGTTTCAAGTATTGTGACCCCTGGCAGCAGAGAAAAGAGCTGGGCACTGAGTTCAACAAGCGCCTCCTAGCAGAGAGCTTACATGCGTAGGGAGCTGTGTGAAGACTCTGTGAAGAGAAAATACTTCCAGACTCCACAGTATTGGGAGTTTTGGGTTATGTCACTATAATTGCATGTATTCTTCACTACCATTATACTTTAAATTTGAGCCTACCCTTCCCTTGCACACCATGTGCTTCTGGGAGAGCATGGGCCAGATTGGGGGGGGGGGGATGCTTTGTTACTATTATTCCTGCTATACCATTTGAGCAAATTAATTTGATAAGAGCTAACAATGTCTACTGGCTGATTGCTCATAAGAAAGCACCACCTGTAACGTACAGACCCACCCACAGAACCTCAGGTAGTAACCACCATGTGAGCCTCAATCTTTGAGTATGAATGCAGGTTGGGGAACAGCTCCCAGAGGGAGTGCTATGCATCCCCAAAATGATGGGGGAGGGGTGGACTAGAATATCCCTAAGATTCCTTTTAACGCTGATATTTGGGGAGGCAATGAATCACCTGGCCTAGTTTAATGGTTCAATTCAAATCAAAGTAAGTGTAACCAGGCCTGGCTGGGATACCTGTGGGAAAAACCAGAAAAGGCAGAGTCCCACCCTCTGACAACTTCCAGTTTCACTGGGGTAACAAGAGTCAAATGCGTGAAACAGAAGATAATCATCTTGTGGTTCAGACTCTGAGTGGTAGGATTGCTTGGAAAGGAGAGAAATGAGTCGGAAGAAACTAGGGCAGTCTGCCTGGAGGAGGGTGGAGCTGAGTTGGACCTTTAAGTGTGTGGGTTAGGGTAGGATTTGGACGGGCAGAGAAGATAGGAGAAAGTGGGAGAAGGCATGAACAAATTCAGAGTATTTGAGAGACAGTGATAACACCTGCCTAGTAGGAACAGAGAGTTTGTATAAAGAGAAAAGTGAGAACTAAGGGACCATAAGTCCATAAGAATTAGAGATAGGAGGGGATGTCCAGACCCTCTGATCTGGCCTTCTCCTTTCACAGCTGGAGAGACTGGCTGAAAAGGTCAGAGATTTAATGCTCGAAGGGAGCTCAGAGACCATATCATCCACCCCCTTCATTTTACAGGTGAAGAAAGAAAGGAAGTGAGGAGCCCAAGGTCACATGGGTACCAAGTGGTAGGGCCAGGATTCATCTCTAGTTCTCCAGAACTAGTCATCTTTAGGGGTGGTGGAGAGACGGCATCATGGACTTTGTCCTATAGACAGTAGAAATGATTAATCTGTCCAGGGTAGATTTGAAAAAGAAAGTTGAGACTAGTGGGATAGAAGTAGGACAGGGTTCAACCCTGCCCACTGACTTTTTGTTTCTTCTTCCACCCCCAACACACAACCATGCACACACGCAGAGACCTCACGCCACACGACCTTTTCACTTCCTCCCCTAGATATGGATCACAGGTGGGAAAATCAGTTCTAGGATGGGGTATGTGGATAACCAGAGCTCCAATGGGAGGAATGCCAAACAGATTTCTGGCCCGCAGCCCTACCATGGGTGGCAAGCAGAGAAGAGGGTGGGGACAGAACTAGGGAAAGAACCAACCCAGAGATCACTTCTGTTTTCTTCAGGCTGCAGAGCTCTAAAGCATGGAAGGCTGTAGTGAGGAGCAGGAGGAGGGTCTCGGAGTCCTAGCAGGTAAGAGACTGCCCCCATTCCTACTAAGTGAGCAGGCACAGACAGTAGATGAAGAGCCATGCAGAAGGCTGAAGGGGTGCAGGGAAGGATTTCATCTTTTCATCTTTCATCAAAAAGAAATAGATACAAAGACAGAGACACACACACACATACACGTATGCACAGTTGGACAAAGAGAAACACACACAGCAGAGAAAGACTCAACAATATAAACACAGAATGAGACAACATCAAAGGCTAGCACACCAGAGACAGACACACAAATACTTACACTGAGAGGACCAACTCGCTGACACACAGAGGCTCAAACACACAGTCTCTAACACAGTCTTACTGGGTCCTATGATTTGCACTCACTCCTGAGAGCCCTGGGATCATCAGTGGTCCGAGAGCTAGCCTTGGAGTGGGAAGACAAGGGACTGAAGTCCTGTTTCTGCCACATATAGGCCACATAAGTTATTCAGCCCCTTGGTCAGAGTTTGAGGCAAACGTCTAGAGACTGAACTTGCAAAGCAGTCACTGATCTGCATTGGTAGATGGAGTTTCCTGAGAAGGCAGTTCCCTACACCAATAAATTCCCATGCCCAGACCAAAAAAAAAAAAATCCCTTGTGCCTACACTGGCCTCTGTCGGTCCACCCCTCTATATCAGTCTGTATTGACTCCATCCTCAGGAAACACCCATTGACTTAAACAAATAACTGCATCTAATCAAAGAGATCATGGCAGAACACTTCCTCTTTCCTTCCCAACCCCCTTTCCCCCAGGTCTTAGCCTATTTGCAGCATTTGCTGTGAGTTACCCCCAATACTGACTTCCCTTTCACACAGGGACCAAGATAACAGGGCTCTCCTGCCGCAGCCTTGGGGCAGCCATTCCAGCTGGGCTTTGAGTTAATCTACAATCTGCTGTCTGGTTGTGATTGGGGAGGGAGAAGGGAGGGATCACAGAGTATATTCCCAACTAGGATGGTAGAAGATTTACCAAGGAGGAGGAAGAGCCTTGGGGATAGATGCCAAATGAAAGAACCTTGGTCAATGGATGTATTCTCTTATGTAGGCAGCTGGACAGATTTCCTCTCTAACAAAGGCAAACCTGAGCTTGTCCCTCTCCCTCCCACTCTAACCATCCCCCAAAAATCCCACCTTTCTGTCCTAAAACTCACCTTCTCAGTTAAGACTTCTATGATTAGATATGTTATATTGTTTAGGTAAATGGGTGTTTACTGTGGACCTACTATGCTCCTGCTGGAATCAAGCCGGGTTTGGTACCATAGGAGAAAAAAGAGGCGATAATGGGGTCTTGCCTTTAGGGAGGTCATGCTCAGATTGGAAAGGCTTCCTCCCGATGCACCCCAACCTTGGTGTCTATGAATGGTTGCTGCTAATTCTGTTCTTGTTTCCGTGTTTGCTTGTCTTTCCCCTCAACATCAGCATCAGACAGGACTTTGGTCTCTGTCATCAGACCAGAGACTCCTTGGCTACCTCCTATCACTCACATGCCTTCTGCCACTATCTCCTCCTTCACTTTTATCTCATGTGAAGAGGTGGCCTTATTCCTTACCAAGACCCACCTGCACTAGTGATCCATCCTACCCCATCTCAGCCAACAGAGCGCCCCCCCATCATCCCACTCTATTACTTATTTTCCATCTCTCCATATCTACTTGCTCATTGCCCTATTTCCTATAAACATGTCCACGTCTCCCCATCCTAAAAAGCCTTCATTTGATCCCTCCATGCCCTCAGACTATCATCCTTTATCTATTTGCCCTTTGTAGCTACACTCCTTGAAAAACCATCTACAGTAAGGGCTTCCACTTCCATACAATCCAGCTTCTAGCCTCACCATGCCACCAAAACTGTTCTCTCCAAAGTTACTAATGATCTTAGTCACCAAATCCAATGGCCTTTTTTTAAATCCTCGTTCTCCTTGACCTCCTAGTAGCCTTTGACACCATTGATCAGCCTCTAGGTTTTCAGGACACCCCTCCCTCCTGGATCTTGTCCTACTTATCTGACCATTCCTTCTGTGTTTCCTTCTCTTCCTCTTCATCCAGATATGTCCTCTTACCATAGGTGTCCTGGCAGGGTTCTGGTCCAGGCCCTCTTCTCTTCTCCCTCTATTCTACTTTACTTTGAATCTCATCAGCTCCCGTGGATTGAATTATCCTCTCTATGCTGACAGCTCTCACATCTCCCTCTTTGCCCTAACCTCTCTGCTGACCTCTAATCTCACATGTCCAGCTTTCTTTCAGACATCTTGAACAGGATATCTCATAGACATCTTAAACTCAACATGTCCAAAATCCAACTCATTCTCTGTCCCCCTAAATCCTCCCCCCCACCCTCTTAATCTCCCCATTACTGTCAGGAGCACCACCACCATCCTTCCGGTCACTCAAAGCCAAGGGCTCACCCTGAACTTCCTCTCTCTCACCCGCCATATCCAATCTATGCCAAGGCCTGGCAATTTCACCTTTGCACCATCCCTTGAATAACCCCCCTTCTCTCCTCTGACACTGCCTCCACTCTGGTGCAGGCTTCCTCACCTCATCACCTTGATGATTACAGCAGCTGCTGAGGGCTCTGCCTGCCTCCAGTCCCTCCCCACTCCAGTTCATCTTCCATTCAGCCACTAAAGTGACTTTCCTAAAGTGCAAGTCTGATCATGTCACACCCCCTGCTCAATAAATGCCTTCAGGAACAAATAGAAAACCCACCTTTTAGCATTCAAAGCCCTTCATATCTTAGCCCCCTCCCGCCTCTCCATTCTTCCTATTATTCCCCAGCAAGCACTCCTTGATCCAATGACGTGGCCTTCTGCCTGTTGCACAGACAAGACCCTCCATTTCTCAGTTTCCAGGCATTTTCTCTGGCTGTCCACCGTGCCTGGAATTCTCTTGCTTCTCATCTTCTTCTGACCTCCCTGGCTTCCTTTAAGTCTCAACTAAAATCCCATCTTTTCAGGAAGTTTTTTCCAAGCCCTCTTAATTTTAGGGCCTTCTCTCTATTAATTATTTCCTATTTATCCTGTATATAGCTTGTTTGTCTCCCCCTGTTAGATTGTGAGCTCCTTGAGGGCAGGGAACTGTCTTTTGTCTCTTTCTACATACCCTGTGCTTAGCACAATGCCTGGCACATAGTAGGCACCTTATAAAATCTTGACTGATCGATTGAGGGCAGGGCCTGTGTCTTCTCCATTAGGCCAAGGGCTACCTAAGGACAGGGGCTATCTTCCCCCATCAAATTAGGAACTTCTTGAGGGTAGGGCCTATGTCTCCCATCAAACTCTATCCCGCCTAGTCCTGTGTCTAAATTGTAGTATAATAATGACTCATGTTTATGTAGCCCTTTAAAGTTGACCTATAGATAAAGGCCATATTTTATGCCCATTTCGCAGATGGAGAAACTACAGTTTAAAGGGGTAGAAATGCCCCACTCTAGGCACACATTTAGTAAGGTGAGAGCTGGGACTGGCCTCCAAATCCATTGAGCTCTTCAGTATGCCCCACTCTACACCCCAGTGCTTTATGAATAGAGAGTCATGAGTGACTAGAGCAAGAAGAAACTTTTCAAGGAAGTCTTCACTGAAGGAAGGCCTTTGAGCCCAGTTCTGTTGGCCGAGATGGGACCAGATAGATGTCAGTGGGTGAGGGCAGAGAGCCCCCAAGGCAGAGTTTCTCTGAAAGCTCATGTCCAGTGGGGTGGGTGTGATAGGGTACAGGTAGGAAAGAGAGGAACCATGGACAGGCCTCAGGCCCCAGGCCATGGGGGAGGTCCTGAGTTAGGGCCCCACGGACCTGTATCTTCCAGCTATCCTTGAAGACCTTGGTGACATCAGAAAAAGCAGCTATGAGTCTTCCCTCTCGGAGGAAGCCAGCACATCCGAAGATGAGGAAGAAGAGCTGGAGGAGGTACAGAGACACCTGCTAAACTCTCCCTGACACCACAATCTCATCACTCCCCAAACTGGCCCAGAACCCACAGGCTTATCCTGTGGAGACAGAGCCTCAATGATCCAGAACACCAGGCCTAAAAGCTGTGTCTGTACCTTCAGAATGGAGAGTGTGACTTTCAGGGGAAATGACCCAAGTGGCCAAAAGATCATAGATTTCAAGCTGAAAGGGAACTTAGAGGTGATCTAGTCCAGCCCCTTCATTTCATGGTTGGGGAAACTGAGGCCCAGAGAGATTAAGTGACTTGTCCAAGCTCACAAAATCTGGAGGCAGTTCTCTTGCCACCAAGATGGTGAGGGGATTGGAGACCATGCCAGATGGGGGTCATCTAAAGGGACCGAAACCCCTTGAGGGCAGGGACTATGGCCCTCTCTAGGAGGCTGACCAAAGAGGCCCAGGAGCCCGGGGTGGCCGTGCCGATGCTAGGTTTCTCCCTTTCTCCCATTTCAGCAAGGATCTTGGGAGCAGGACCAGAAGCAACTGATGGAATTAGAGCAAGGTGAGTCCATCCCTAACCACCTCCCCCTCTCTCTGCCCTTTGCCCTCCCAGGAAGGCAGACAAAGACCAGCAGCATATAGGAGAGAAAGTGATCAGGACGGGAAGGTGTTGTCCTGCCGACTAGATTAGCCAAGTCGTTAGAGCTAATGAGGCCTGTTGTAATCCTTCTGGTCCACTGAGCATTTCACAGAGAGGTGCCATGTCAGAGAGGGTTCTCCTGAGAGTGTGGATGGCTCAGGCAGCCCATCCCCACTGCTAGGGGCACAGCTCCAAAGCCCATTGAAAGAGATGACTGCATTTTGGAGAGGATCCACCCTGGCTTCCAGAAAGGCGACTAAACATGTCCCCTTGTCAGGGGCACCATGAAGAGCTGTCCTGGCCATCCCCTCCATCTCGCTCCATCTTCAGGTCCGGATTGGAGCTTAGGAAGTAGAGCCTGGGCACAAAACCAGACCTCTGGATGCCAAGTCAGAGGTTGGGGCCAAAGGCAAGATGGTGCTGGGAGGGCACAAAGATTCAGGCCCCCGTCATGATCAGGGCCCAGGCTGGGGAAGCCCAGGGCTGCCAAGAGCAGAGCCCTGAACCAGGATCACAAAGCTAAGCTGGAGAGAAGGAGACTGGCTGGTGGTGGGCCAGGCAATGGAATTCTACTCCTTGGAGGGAAACCCAGAGAGGCCGGGCCGGGAGGGTCTTGTTCTAGTGCAGGGAGAGAGGATCCCAAGCAGAGCTAGAGCGCTCTGTCACTGTCTCTTCCCCAGCCTCCCAGGCCCTGCTGACTGAGCTGTCTGTCCTGGAGGCGGAATGCCAGGTGGAGAGGTCCTGCAGGGAGCAGGCAGAGGTCTACGCTGCCCAGGTGAGTAAGGCTCCTCCCACCACCCCCACAGAACAGCCTCTGCCCCCTCCACTTCCCCAGCCTCCCCACCACACGTGGTTTCTTACCTCAGGAAAGGTTCATTCAAGGTCCCACTGTCTTTCTTCCTCCCACCATCATCTACTTCAAGTCCCAGTGATCTCATCAGTGACAGGTGGTGGTGAGGGTGCCAGGCTCAGAGTCAGAGACCCTGGGTTCAAATCCCACCTCAGACACTTCCTGCCTGAACGACCCTGGGCAAGCCATCTCTCTTAGCCTCAGGTTCCTTATCTGGCACATGGAGGCAATGTAGCCCCTGCCTCCTGGGCTTCTGTGAGAATCAAGTGAGATCCCATTTGTGAAAAGCTCGGCAAACCTTAAAGTGCCATGTAATATGACCTGTTATTGCCACAGCCATGCGGCCCTGCCCTCCATCAGCACGGACCTCGGCTCCTCTAGTCCTTTGCAGGGGACTTCATAAGTTTGCATGGTTAGTTAAGAAAAATAATAAATTGGTAGCCAACCCCCCGGAGGTGACCTCTCCTCACTTACTGGGCTGGTCCTTAGGTGACGAACACACAGACTCTGCTTCCATTTGTGAGAGAGACACAGAGACAGAGACAGAGACAGAGACAGAGAAAGTGAGAGAGGGAGGGAAGGAAGGAGACAATAGAATAAAAAAAGATGGTGAGAGGAGATGATAGACTAGATAGGGAGATAGATGATGGAAGACTAGAGAGAGAAGGGAATAGATAGATAGTAAATGTATATATGCACACATATATGTACACATATATGTATACACATATATATATATATATTTATATTTTATTTTCCTTGCACTCACCTAGTTGTCTGCACATTGTCTCCTTATCAGAGTGTGAGCCCCTTGAGGGCAGGGACTGTCTTTGCCTCTCTTTGTATCCTCAGCACTTAGCACAGTGCCTGTCATACAGTAGGTGCTTAATAAGTACTTATTGGGGCAGCTAGGTGGCTCAGTGGATAGAGCTCCAGCCTTGGAGTCAGGAGGACCTCAGTTCAAATCTGGCTTTAGACACTAGCTGTGTGACCCTGGGCTACTTACTTAACCTTGACTGCCCAGCCAAAAAGCAAGAAAAAAATATGATAAAGTTATGATAAGTGCTTATTGGCTGATAGCCTCATCTGATCTCCACAACAACATTAGGAAGCAGGAGCTACTTTTATCTCCATTGTACAGATGAGTAAACTGAGCCTGAAGGAAGTCAAATGTTGCCCAGGATCACATGACTTAGCAAGTTTCTGAGGGAGGTTTGAAACCATCTAAGTCCAAAGTCGCAGCAGAACAGCCTCTTTCTCTACCTGACCTCATTTGTATTTTTGATCTAACACTACCACCTGGTCAGAAGACCAGGGTTCAAATCTTGACAGGCCACCTACTGGCTGTGTGACTTTGGAGAAGTCACCTCACCTTTCTCAGACTCAGTTTCCTTATCTCTAAAATGGGGTAACAATACTTACTATCTACCTCATAGTATTTGGTGAGAATCCGGTGAGGGGGAAAAATTGTTAAAATTGCTGAGAAAACTGCAAAACTCTGAATTAGGGGGAATGATTATCATGTTTGACAGGCCCACCCCCATTTGATCGGGGGGAAGGGTAGACTTTCTTAGCTCCACCAGCCGCCTGTGTCCCATCCATTGCCCAGGTGAAATAGGATTGGGACTTAAATCTGTATCTGACAGATGAGGAAACTGAGACTGATGGAAAAATGAAAGTCCTGTCCCAGCTAAGGCAGTTGAGGTGTGCTCTCAGCCCTGGGGCCCCCTCAGAAAAGAAGCCAGCTGAGGCCTTTGACTTTGCTGGAACCCCAAAGCCTGTCTCCCCCAAGCCCAGAGGGGCTCCTTGAGGGAAAAGGCTATCTTTCCAATAGGACCAAGGACTCCCTGAGGGCAGGCAGGGGCTGCCCCCACCCAGACCAAGGGACACGCTGGGGGGAGGGGATGTGTCTCCCCAGTTGATGAGCACACACCTCTCTCTGCACCCTTGTTCTATCCTCCCCCAGGTGAGCCAGGAGAATGAGGAGCTGAAGCGCCTGAGTGTTGCGCTCCCCCCCTGCCTGGGCCCTGAGCCTCTGCCCACCACGCCCCAGGAGCAGGGTCCCCCCTCAGAGCCCAGCCTCAGTCAGAACAGCAACACATCAGAGGTGAGAAGAGACTGGGCCAAACCAGGCAACCAGGGTCAAGGCTGTACCAGCTCAACCTCAGGGGGGCAAGCGAGGCTAAGCCAGTGAGCAGAGGGCCCGGAGCCCAGCCCCCAATGCCCCCCACATACCCTGCTGTAATTCCCTCACTCATAAATAGTAGGTAAGCTTAGAAAGTTAGGCTGACCTGGCCTCTCTCTTCTGCCTCCGGGGTCTGGGGAGCCCCAGGCAGGGCTAGCCCCTATACCCAGTGGGAGAAAAGTATCCTGGAGCCAAGGATCCCAGGGTCCCAGGGGAGCCCAAGCAGGTACCAGAGAGCTATCCAGTCTCAGGCAGTGAGTACTGCCTAGCCTCAGGCCAAGGAATGGCTACCAAGATCCCCAGCCCCCCTCGAAGTCTGAGGGCTTCCCCCCAAGATGAGCTGCCTCTGTTCCTCTCAAGATCTTGGGGCTCGGGTGGCCGAACTCCTTCAAGAGAAGAAGGAACTAGCCCTTCAGGTGCAAGAGCTCAGGAAGCAGCTGAAGGAGCAGGAAGAGCAGGTAGGGGGGCTGGGGGCCCGCCCAGCCCTTTTCCTCTCTGTGGGTCCCTCCTCCCCTTTCCTCCTTCCCTCTCTACTGCGGCTCCTCTTCTCCCTGTTCTGTATCTCCCTCCCCTTTTCCTCTCTCTATCTCCCCCCACTTAAAAGAGGAGGAGGAGGAGAGGAGGAGGAGGAGGAGGAAACTGTTGAACTAGAGGACCTTTCTAAGCTCTCTTCTTGTGATCCCCCTTCTCACAAGACCCAACAGAATATGGTGTGGCTGAATGTGAACCAGTGGAAATGAAGAGTGAAGTGTGTGCCACGCCCAGCCACCCCTCTGGGAGTGGCCCTTTTTTCTCTCCCTCGGAATCCACACTGAGATTGGACCCCCTCCACTTCACTCTGCCTATTTTGAGGAAATAGAAAGATTTTGGGGGGAGAGCTGGGGAAGCACTGAGGAGATCAGCTTGGGGATGGGGGGCAGAGCAGAGAGAATGTTCTAGAAAAACACTGGGGAAGGCAAATAGGGGAAATCCACAGAAATGGGGTCCCCACCATAAAGCCACAAAACAAACACACTGTGTGTAACCTTGGGCACCCCTGGGTCTCTGCATCCTTGACCACATGACCTCTGGGGTCCCTCCCAGCTCTAAATAGAAGATTCCATGAGCTAAGGAGAGCTGTAGGGCCAGCAGCACAAGCCCAAGTTGGTATCCTCTGGGAAAAACAGAGGCACCTGCAGCATCAGCCCACCCTGCCCTCAGCCTGGCCACGTGTGGGGCAGCCCCTCACATCCGTCTGTGTCCATCAGTGTATGCGTCTTTGTATCCACAGCCCTCTGCAGATCTGACTGTCTTTTCCATCTGTCTGTGTTCTTCTGCGTCCCTGGGTCCACCTCAGGGAGTGTCTGTGCCTGTCCCTTGCTTCTGTCCACATCTGTCTATTTTCCTCCCTATTCTGTATCTGTATCTCACCTCACACCTACGTCTGTTTGCCTGGGTCCATCCTTCTGCTGGCTTGTTGCGGTCCAGCTCTGAGTGTGTGTGTGTGTGTGTGTGTGTGTGTGTGTGTGTGTGTGTGTGTCTGTCTGTCTGTCTGTCTGTCCGTGGCTGTCCAGTTGTCTGGGTCTTTGGCACCCTCCATACTGGTGTGTCTGTGTCTTCTTCACCCATCTGCACGTGTCTTTCTTTCTGTTCTCATCCCTTTGCGTGTGGGGCCATGGCTGGCTGGCTGGCTGTGTATAGGACTCTGTTTCTGTGCCTGTCCAGATCTCAGGTGTTCCTGTCCCCAACCTTGTCCCCACAGATTCAGAGGGAGAGGCTGGAGCGGAGCTCCCTGCAGACTTCCATGGGGCAGTCTCAAAGAGCCCTGGCAAAATTGAAGCGGGGTGAGTGAGGAGCGCTGGGGCGAGGGAGGATATGCCCATCTATGCCGAGCCAGCGTCTCCCAACCTAGCCTTGGAGTGGGTCAGCTGTTGGGATCCCAACATTATCCAACACTCTTCATTTCCAGCCTCCCCTCCTTTCCCCAGACTGTGCCAGATGGTCCTTTCCTGGTGCTGTCCTCCCTCACGCCCCTCCCTCCCTCCCTCCCAGTGTCCCACCTCGTGCTGCAGGAGTGTGGAGAAGCCTGGCAGCAGCTCCACCTAGAACAAGACCTGCGCCAGCAGGCTGAGATCTTCGCCCACAAGGTACCCTCTTGGCCCTTTCCCACGGCTGGTGTGTGTGACTGTGCCTAAGAGCCCCTGTGAGCGGATTTTAGCATCCCGAAACCAAGGATTTATAAAGCCCGGGCACCCAGCGAGGCCTTGGAGATATAGACGGAAAATAGCCCCTGCCCTTAGGAAGCGAGCTTCCATCCTATCGGGGAGATGACAGGCGCTCGTAGGTGCAGATCCAGAGCCAGAGTTTGAGACCTGGAAGGGGCTCGGACTGGACCACCCTTCAATGATCCTCAGAATTCATCAGCCTTAGACACTTGTCCCCATGACCTGGCCCCGAAGGACCAGCCCTATGGGTTCTGTTCACAGCCTCCCTTTCCTCCCCATCCCACCCCATTCCAGATGCTGGTAGAGAAGAAAGAGGCCCACCGACAGAGCGCCATCCTCCTGCAGAACCACGCCCCCGGGACCCAGCTGTCCGCAGCCCTGGAGGAAGTGGCCGCACTGAGCAGAGCCCTGGAGGAGGCAACATGTCAGCACAGGGAGCAGGTGAGATAGGGGAGGGGCTTCAGCATGCCCAGGGTCCCAGCAGTCTGGGGCCAGGTCTGACTGATACAGCGCGATCTGGGCATGAAAGTGGCCGGGACAGGAGGGAAGTTCAGAGATACAGGAGGTCGACCAAGCAGAGACAGAGCCCATGGCCAGTAACCCAAGATGGCTCGTAGATTCAGGGGTATGGGGGATTTGGACCTGGAAGGTACTGTAGACCAGTGGATAGAGCGCAGGACTCGGAGTCAGAAAGACCTGGGTTCAAATCCCACCTCAGACACTTACTAGCTGTATGACCCTGACTACTTCCCCTCTGTGCCTCAGTTTCCTCACCTGTAAAATGAAGAGGTCAGACTCAATCCCTTCCAGCTAGCTAAATCTATGGTCCTATGAGCCTTCAGTTCAATTCATCAAGCACGCATTAAGCACCTACTGTATACTCTGTGCCAGGCTGACTACTAGAGACACAAAGATAAAAGTGCTTAAAGAGCCCCTGCCCTCAAGCAGCTCACGTCCTGCTGGAGAAACGACATGTACACATATAATAATAATAATAATAATAATAATAATAATAATAATAATAACAACAACAACAAGCATTTATGCGTGTGCCCTTACTGTGTGCCCAGCACTGTGCTAAGCACTTGACAATAATTACCTCGTGTGATCCTCACAACAACCCTGGGAGCAAGGTGCTGTTATTACCCCCATTTTACAGATGAGGAAACTGAGGCAAGCAGGTTAAGTGACTTGCCCATGAGCTAGGGTGGCATTAAGGAAGAAGAGCCTCCAGCAATGCTCATAATAGCCAGCATTTACAGGACACTTTACAAATTTCATCTCATTTTCATGCATTTGTGCACAGAGAAGTAAATATGAAATACATACTAAGCCTTGTCATGGGGAGGAGTGTTGGAGGGGAATCAGGAGATGACTCCTCAGGTCAAAGGTGGCGCCTGAGCTATGCCTTAAGGGAGTTGAGTTCCAAGAGGCAGAGGTGAAGGTGATAGCATGCCAGGCAGAGGGAACAGCCTATGCAGAGGCGTGGAGGTGAGATGGGGAAAATGCTAGTCTTCCCCTCTGAGTGTACCTCCTTCCTATGCACTCTGTAAATATCTTGTATGTGCCTATTATTTACATGTCTCCTCCTTCATAAGAACCTAAGCTCTTTGAGGGCAGGGATGGTTTTGCTTTTTCTTTGTATCCCAGTGTTTATCTCAGTGTCTGGTATACAGCAAGTGCCTAATAAATGCTTGTTGATTGACTGGCTGCTGGAAGCCATTTTGGATGGAACGCAGAGTTCTGAGGAGAAGGGAGAAGTGATGAGGCTGGAGAGAGAAGGCCGTCCTCCCCCAGACTGCCACGGCATCTCCCTCCTTCCTCCACTGCACCCTGTGCGTCTCTCCCATCCAGCACCTGCGGATTCTCAGTCCAAATGGTGCCCTAGGCTCTGGGCGGGGGTTTGTTGGCTTGTTTGCATCAGACCCGTGATTGCATCGCTGAAAGGGACAGCTGTCAGCAGTGGCTAGGACTCGGGGAACAGTAGAAAGTCAGCCTGGGTGCAAACCACACCTTTGCCACTCGCTATTTGGACTTTGTGTCAGACTCTCTGTGACCCCATTTGGGGTTTTCTTGGCAAAGATACTGGAGTAGTTTTCCATTTCCTTCTTCAGCTCATTTTACAGATGAGGAAACTGAGGCAAACAGAGTTAAGTGACTTGCCCAGGGTCATGAAGTATCTGAGGCCAGATTTGAACTCATGTCTTTCTGACTCCAGGCCCAGCACTCTATCCGCTGAGCCACCTAGCTGTCCCTGTGTGACCTTGGTCGTCATTTAGTGTCTATGGGCCTCAGTTTACTCATGCATAACATTGAGAGGTGATCTTTAAGATTCTACGAGCCTATCATTCAAGTCCAGTCCTCTTCTGGCCTGCTCGTGTTCTATAAATACCATGAATCTCCCCAACAAGGCTCTCCAGGGGCAGAAGACTTCCCTGACTCCCTGCAGTCTACGGAAACACAGAACAGAGAACAAAACAAGTCTAGCAAAGAAAAACTTACTTACTTTTGTCCTGCTAACCACCAGGTAGTGTCCTGGGAAGCATCCCAGGAAGAAGTGGGATACCTCAAGATGCAGCTAAAGGAGATAGAAGAGAAGAATGCCCAGCTGGAGGCCTTGGGTATGTTCTCCTTGGACGACCACTGTACCTTCCCCCTCCTGAAATGCCCTGTTCCCACTGCTGATCAACACATGCACACATTCATGGCCCTGGCCTGACAGGAGAGACAGAGCTATAGGAGCTTATTACAAGAAGGCAGGGAGAGGAAAGAAAGAGTGTTGCTAAGTGTGAATTGAAAAATGCGTCATGTTCATCAAGGAAGGCTTCCTGGAGGAAGTGGCCTGGAGCTGTGAAGACCCCCCTTTCCGAGCCTAGGCTCCCAAGACTTAAAAAGGAAGCTGTAACCTAGTGAGGAGAGAACTGCATTTAGACTCAGAGGACTTGAGTTCAAATCCTAGCTCTACAATGAGACAGTGAGGTGGCACAGTGGACAGAGCACAGGACAAATCTGGCTCATACACTTTACTAGCTTTGTGACCCTAGGCAAGTCACTTAACCTCTGTTTGCCTCAGTTTCCTCATCTGTAAAAAATGAGGATAATAATAGCACCTACCACCCAGGGTTCACGTGAGGATCAAACAAGATAATATTTATAAAACCCTTAATGCAGTGCCTGGCATGTCGTGGGCCTTATATAAATAATAGCTATTTTTTTAATTATTATTAAACTTGAGAAAAATCACTCTCTGGGCCAGTTTCCTCATCTAAAGAATGAGTGTATTAGACTAAATGATCCCCAAGGCTTTCCCCGACACTAAATTGTATCTGTTTTTATATTATGTTCAGATCCTTAACTTTTTTATTGTTTCCTGTTCTCATTTCTGTTAGATTTGTCTAACTCTGAAAGAAGCACGTTAAAGACCTCAACAATTATTCACTTACTATAAGTGGATTAATTTATCCTGTTTACTACCTCAAAAGCCAAGGAAACTTGTGATTTTGAGTTAGAGATCACCAGTCATTGGATCATAGATTTAGGGATGGAAGAGATGTTATTTAACTTCCTCATTGTACAGAAAAGAAAACTGATGCTTGAAGAGGTCAGGTGACTTGTTCATGGTCACACAGAAGCAGAGTCAGGATTTAAACTTAGACCCCAAATGCAGGGATCTGTGCACAGTGCCGTGCTGGCCAAAGAAACTCTGCTGGGGTCTCTGGGAGTGCTTGCAGTTACAGGTGAAGTCCCCAGAGACTTAGTGTTCATTATACTGCTTTTCCCCACCTCCATCTGCAGTCTGTGCCCTGGAAGAGAGGGTGAAGAAAGCCGAAACCCCAAGCCAGGAACCAGAGGCTCTGCCTCCGGCTCCCCCCACCACCGCCACCCCCACCCCCACCCCCACTGCCTCCGCCCTCTGCTCCTGCAGCAGAGTAAGTAGCCCCCCTCCTCCTCACTCAGCCCACCCTGCTTCCCTGAAATGATCTGGAAGGTGATGAGAGGAGCAGGTCCTGAGATTGAAAGGAGAGAAGGGAGATTTGGGGGGAAGGATGGGAGACAGGGAAGGGAACGTCAAGTGTGGATGGAAGAAAGGAGGCGATGTGGCTGTGGCTCCTAAGATTCCCCCTCGTCTCCATCCCTAGCCCTCTTCAGGTCATCCGGCTGAGGCGAGGCCTGAATCCACAACCAGGTCAGCAAGGTGTATGGGAAAAGGAACTTCGGGAGGCCAGCTTGGGGGTCTGGGTGGGAGAGGAAAGCCGGGGGTCAGCAATGGGGGACACTTAAAAATTAATGTTAAAACGGTCTTTATGTCATTGGAAAAAATACTATTTATTAAAGTGAAGGACAAGGAGGATGTTGGGGAGAAGATGGGAAGGGGAAAGAAGGACCAGGTAGAATAGGAGGTGGGATCTCTTCCCATGGATCTCTGCCCCCTCCCCAATGTCCACTGCCCCCCAGCCCTGGCAGCCCCCTCCCTGGAAGACAAGAAGGCAAAGGCAATGCAGGAAATGATGGACAGGATTCGTCAAGGAGTTGTGCTGAGACCGGCTGCCAGAGAGAAGGACCCCAGTCAGGTACTGCTCCCTGAGAAACCTGGCCTCCTCCCTCCCTCACCACTCAAAGGAGATGGGCCCAGCTTTAGTGGTGGGGGCTTAAGGAAGAGGAGGCAGTAGCTCTATACGATGGAAACCTGGGATTGAGCTTGCTTGGCTCAGGCACTGGGCAAGTCACAGCCTCTCTGGGCCTCAGTTTACTCATCAGTAAAATAAAGAGATCAGATGTGATGCCATCCAAGAGGCAGCGGGGTGGCACAGAGGACAGAGCCCTGGGCTTGGGGTCAGGAAGACTTAAGTTCAAATCCAATCTCAGACACTTACTAGCTGCGTGACCCTGGGCAAGGCTCTTAACCTGTTTCCCTCAGTTTCTGCATCTGCAAAATGGGGATACTAACAGCACCTACCTCACAGAATTGTTGTGAGGCTCAAATAAGAACATATCTGAAAAGTTCTTGGCACACAGTGCCTGGCACATAGTAGGTGCTGTGTAAACAGTAGCTATTATAAAGTGCTTAGCCTGGTGCCTGGCACGTAGTAGGTGCTGTGTAAATGGTAGCTTTTTATTATTATCTAATTTGTCTTCAAACCACCATCCTATAAGGAAGGGACCAATATGGGCTGGAATGGTCAGGACAGTGTCCTAGAGGAGGTGAAGCTTGATCTGGACCCACTAAAGCTGTTATGTAACTCCAACATTAGAATGGAAGTGCTACAAGGGCAGGAAATGTTTCTCATTCTTCTTAGTCTTTTCCCACCACTACTCATAGCAGGTGCTTTGTGGATTTTTTTTTGAATGGTTATTCAATTTACTAGCAAATTGGGCAAGCATTTATTAAGTACACTATGTGCCAGGCACCATGCAAGGTGCTGGGGACAAGAAGACAAAACCAAGATAGTTCCTTCCCTCAAGAAGCCTACATTCACTAGGTGGCACAGTGGATAGAGCGCCAGCCCTAGATTCAGGAGGACCTGAGTTCAAATCCAGCCTCAACCCATAACACTTAGTAGCTGTGTGACCCTGGGCAAATCACTTAACCCCGCTGCCTAGCCAAAAACAAACAAACAAAAGAAAAAAAAGAAGAAGAAGAAGAAGCCCACATTCTATTGAGAAAGAAACAGGTGTGTTGAGAGGGGCACACAAAGTAACTTGAAGATAGAGAGAGCACCACCCACCGGGGGAATCCAGAAAGGCTTCATGGAGGAGCAGCCCCTTTACTCAGCCTTGTGGGGAGATGAGATGAGGAGGGAGGGCACTCTAGGCAGGGAGGCTGGTGTGTACAAATGCGGGGAGGTGGGAGATAAAATGTCAGGCTCAGGAAGCCTCTAGTTTGTGCGGCCCATAGAGTGAGGGAAGAAGGGGGAGTGGTGCAGAATAAGGTCTCCCAGCGTCAGGAAACAGAGACGGTAAGGACCTCCGTCTGCCCTTTCAAGGCAAAGAGGTGCAGGGCTATTCAGGAGCAGGCACAGACACTGCACGGGGTGTTCTGGCCATTTGTTGCTTTAGTCCTAAGGGAGGGTCTAACTGGGGGAGAAAGGTTTGAAATAACTGACATGAAGATACAATGAATGAATGGATGGATGAAAAAACACTTCCTATATGCCAGGCATTGTGCTAGGCATTGGGAATACAGACACAAAAAGACAGGCTTTGCCCTCAGAGAGCTTACATTCTAGTAAGGAAAGGCAACATCTGGAAGGGAGTGGCAGCCAGGAAGGGGGTTTTGGACTTTGAAGTCACAGGGATGGTGAATGAGCCATAGGCTGTTTGATTGACGTGACCTTTCCAGGCCTGGTAGGGCTGATGGGGAGCTGAAAAGGCAGATGGAAACAAGATGGTGGAGGGTTCTGAATGCCAGGCTGAGATATTTGTATTTTATGCTAAAGGCAAAATTGTTGGGCGGGGGGGGGGGGGGGCTTCTTTTTTTTTTTTTTTACAATTGGCATTAAGTGACTTGCCCAGGGTCACACAGCTAGTGTCAAGTGCTTGGTCTGAGGCCAGGTTTGAACTCAGGTCCTCCTGACTCCAGGGCTGGTGCTCTGTCCACTGCACCACCCAGCTGCCCCAAGGCAGGGGGGCCTTCTTGAGCACCTCAAGATGACTTGGCCAACTATGAGGAGAGCAGATTGGGGAAGGGAAAACACGGAAGCTGGGAGACCACTCAGGAGGGGGGCGGTGGTCTAGGCACGAGTTGATGAGGGCCTGAACCAAGGAAAGAATTTCCAGAGATGTTGGGAATGAGAAATCAATGGGACCCTTTGGAAGCTGGGGTGAGGGAAAGAGAGGAGCCCAAGGTGAATCTGAGGCAGAGATCCTAGGTAGCTGGGAGGATGGCATCTCCTCCCTAGAGTCATGGAAAATGCAGGGATACACAAGGGAGAGTTGTCTAACAGAGTTCGTCAGAGAGGGCTGCGGGCTGTGCAGATTCTATGCAGTCTGGGTTCTCCTCTTTTTGTTCCCAGGACCGAAGCAAACGTAGGAGTGCTGCGATAACTGAACTGCAGACCTTGCTGGTGAGAGGCATCGGACTGGGGAGCAAGGAGGGAAGTGGGGGAGGGGAAGGGGAGATCCGACACTGCTTGGCGCGAGCCACTGTGAAACTGAGGCGGTGAATGAACGTCCAGTACTAACCAGACTCTTGTCAAGGAGCAAAAAAAAAAAATCACCTGAACCACATTGTAAGGGACTAAACAGCAAACTGAACCTTGGGGAGGGCCCTGTAGAACCCAAAGCGGATATAGGAATGAAGTGCTAATGGTGGGATTTCAGACACAGTGACAGGCAATGGGAGATTGAGGGAATTTCTTCCCAGTCATATGACCTCTAGGTGGGCAGTTCAAACTGGGCTATGGAGGCTGTCTCCCCCAACCTCTCTTTCCTCTGATGCCAGCCCCATCCTAGTTCAACTGACTGCCCCATGAGCCCAGGAGTCTTAGGAGTGTTGAGTCTGGCTCTGGACCTCACCTTTGGGGCAGGGCCTTGACAAGCTAGACCAGAGAACAGTGGCCAGGATGACAGGGGAACAAAAGACCGTATTGTGGGAAGACCCACTGAAGGAAATGGGACTGTTTATTCTGGAGAAGACTCGGGGTATGGAGGAATGCAGGCATGCAAGAGCTATCTTCAAGGATGCGAAAGAAGGATGATGTTATTTTACGTGGCCTCTGAGGAGATAACTAGAGCAATGAGTAGAGAGTGCAGACAGGCGGATTTTAGTTTTACATGAGGAATTGTGAAGATTAGAGCTATCCACAGCAGGAGGTAGTGAGTTCACCATCATTAGAGGCCTTCAAGCAGAGGCTGTAGGACCATTCTCGGGAGACTTGTTGGTGTGGATCCCTGCTGGGTGTAACCAGGTTAGACCAGATGTCCTCTGTGGCCCCTTGCCTTCTGAGATTCCCTATTTCTCTGAAGGGCTCGCTTACAAAATAGTTAAGGACGCAGGAGATGGGCTTGCTGCTGCCCGCTCCTCCTGGTTCCAGGCGGGGTCTGAAGACTCCAGTAGCTGCTGCCTTCCTGTGCTCCCCTCACCTTCCGTCATGGATGGAGGGTGAGGGAGGGATCTCTTAAGGGCCTCTCCATCCCCAGGCTTCCAAATGCCGGCCCCTGCGCAGGGGCAGCAGGAGAAAGAAGAGCAGCTGGAGGGTCCCCGATGGCCAGCTAGTGGCCATCCTGCAGAGAAGGCGCCACCTGGTTGACTCCACTTCAGCGGGACCTCCGGATGGCACAGAGTCGGGACGCAAAGGTGTATTCAGGGCTGAGGCTCAAGGCTCCAAGATCCAGGGCCAATGTGAGGACTGTGGATCTGGGACCACAATTGTTCAGGGAGGCAAGGCTGGGGCTGTTCCAAGAGGCCTTCCTGGAGTAGGTCGAACAATCCTTTCGCCTGGGTTAAGAAGCCATCGTGTGACTGACCGTTACTTCAGTAGGGAGGCAAAGGAATGCCCAGCAGAGCCAACCCAAGCAGATCAGGCCTCCATTCCCCAAGCCCCGGTCAGCTTGAGGACCCCAGCTCTGTCAAAGGCATCTGTCCTTTGGGGCCAGCCAGAAGACGTATAAGAAAAGCATGTTTCTTTAAAAAAAAAAAAAAGGAAAGAAAGAAAGTCATGTTTCCTTCCCTAACCTCCTCATCTGACCAGAGCATCCCAGGAAGGCTGGGGATTAGGAAGTCCCTGACAATTTGCTGAGGGAGAAGGGAGGTGGTTAAGAGTGATGAGGAAAGGACATGCACTTCAAAGTTAGCAGCACTGGTCTGTAGCAGGCTAGACCACAGGCTGAAGCTGCCCCTCCCCTAAGACTCCCTGAAGTCAAAGTTCCCCTTAACCCAAACACACCCCAATCTGGATGACCCACTTCCCAGAAAAGATAGGGCATCAGACAGAGCTAAGCCTTTGAATTGAGGAGGAATGGCAAGGGGAATGTTTCTCTCAAAGGCCTGGGAGAAAGGATCCAGAGGGACACACATGCTACCCATCTCTAACCTTTCTTCCTCATCCTGAGTCCTACCCAGGCCCTGTCATTAAAGTTGATGCTGAAAAACTGAGATGCTGGATTGAGTCATTTTTTCCTTCCCAAAAAACAAAGTTACAGATTTCGAATGTCCTCATCCCCTGTCCTCCTCCATTCAAGGGTGAGCTATGCCAAGGTCAAGGACATTGACCTATCTCTTGAAATGGAAACAATGCCTGTGAGATATCACAAACTTAAAGGTGCCGTGTTATTGTTAGTATTATTGTTAATCCTCATTGGTAAATACTGACTGCTGCTGTCACAGAACTCTGGAATTACAGAATATGAGTGTTAGAAAGAGATGTCAGTAACCTTCTTGTCCAAACCATGCATAAAATGAAGCCCTGCCGTAACATATATAACAAGAGGTGGTCCATTTACCAGCTTGGAGACCCCTGAAGTCAGTCAGTCAACAAGCCTTTATTAAGTTCCTTCTATGTGCTTGGTACTGTGCTAAATACTAGGGATATAAAGGCAAAAGGGAAAGAGTCCCTGCCCTCAAAGAGCCAGGGAAAGCAACATGTATATTCAAATACTGACAAAATACAGACAAGTCACAGAATCTGAAGGTTGGAAAGACCTCAGCGGCCAGTCAGTCCACACCAACCTAAATGGGGCTATCTGAAAAGTGGTCACTCAAATCTATTGTCAATTCAATTTGGTTTCATATGCCTTTCATAAGCACCTTCTATGTTCAGGGCCTGTGCTAGAGGCTGAGAATACAAAGACAAAAATGGAGTAGTCCTGTCCCTCAAGAAGCTTACCTTCTACTCTATTCTATCTTCTCCTTCACTCAGAGGGAAAGGTCTTGGTAGAAAGAAGGCAACATAAATAGGAATAAAGAATTCAGGTTTTTCGTTTGTTTGTTTGTTTTTGGTTTTTTTGCTAGGCAATGGGGTTAAATGACTTGCCCAGGGTCACACAGCTAGTAAGTGTCAAGTGTCTGAGCAACAAAGAATTCTAATGGAGTTTTTTTAAACTTGTAAGTGGAAGGAACCACAGCCAATCAGCTCCCAAAGTATAATGACCAATCTTGACCTTGACAAAAAAAGAGACGTGAGAAGAACCGTCCCCCACTTCTTTGTGGAACATTGCATAGAACGTCAAACTTTGGGGACATGTTTGTTTTACCCAACTAATTTTTTTCTTCTTTGCTATGAGGGATTACTCTCTGGAAGAAGGAGGGGTGTATTAGGACATGTAAGTGATGTGAAAAAAATATATATTAATAAAAATCTAATTTTTTAAAATGTAGGTTTTTTTTAAAAAAAAGCCAAAAACTGCAATGGAAAAGTCCAGAATGGAGAACTAGAGGACCTAAGGCCTGGCCCTGACTCTACCACTAACTCTTATATATGACATTGGGCACACTCTTTCTGAAACAGATTCTCTCAGGCATGAAGGTAAGAGTTTGGCCTCTGTGGTAGAGCGGGGGGAAAGGTGACTCATAAGTCACAGGACCAGAGTTCAAATCCCACCTCTGATCCTGACTACTTATGTCATCTGAGCAAATCACTTTCTCTCTCACCTTTCTCAATGAAAAAAGAAGGTTGGGCAAGATGGCCTTTGGAAACTCTCTGGAGCTGTGATCTCTAGGCCCCCACTGGACCTGGCATTCTATGATTTATAGATGCTTCCAATTCTGACCCTTTGTGCTCTCAAATCCCTTCCACATGTCACTTAGACATTCCCAAGGCCCTTCTCAATTCCAACCTTTGGAGCTGGAAGAGTTGGGGCAATGTGAGTTCCATGCAGCTAGGTAGATTCAAAACCGAATGAAAGGCCAGACACAAAAAGTGACCTTGAAAGGCAGTTCCCCAGGGTTTGTCCTTGGCCCCGTGCTGTTTGACAGTTTTACCAATGATTCAGATGAAGACATCCTGGTTAGATTTGCAGATGGCAAGCCTTCTGGCCCACCCTTCTATCCTGTCCAGATCTTATTGAGTTCTGACTGTGTGACCTTCCCCTCCTGCTCTGGTATCACCTGCAAAATGGATAAGCCAATTTTCTATGCCTTTTTTAAAAATCACGTTAAATTTATTCATAATATTTAAATTTATTTTATCCTACTAAATGTATCTCAGTCTACCAGCCTTGCCTCTGACATGTAATAGCTGTGTGACTCTGAAGCACGTGACCCTTCAGGGGTCTGGGTGGCTCTCTAAGGCTATCCATTCACTACAGCAATGAAATCTTAGGCCTAGGCTCTGTCCACATCCCTGGAAGAGATGTCCACACCTAAATTGGTGGACTCTGGTTTCTGTTCCTCATGGGAGTCGGGATAGCACTTATTCCCAGGAGATTCCCAGAGGCAAAAGATGGAGCACCAGTTCTAGAGTGCTTTGACATCCTCAAAGCAAGAAGGATACACATAGCTTTGGTGGCCATCTCGGTCTCTCCTCCGTAGCCACGAGGTCGGAGGTGGTCCGGTGATCAGGACTGACAATGAGAAGGGATTAGGGTAAGGGGCTAATTCCCACCATTTTGCCGCATACCCCACCAAGCTCTGGTTTCTTCCCACACAGAACCTGGCCGCTGAAGGCCACTTCATGCCCAGAAATACAGCCAGGTGGGAGAGGTCCTCCCTCTTAGCCAACCACTGACGAGCAATGTAGTACAGTGGTGAGCATGCTCCACCTGGGGTCTGAGGACCTGGATTCAAATCATAGCCACTTACTCCTTGTGCTACCTTAGGTCACTAACCATTCTGGACCTCAGTTTCCTGATATGTTAAATAACAGAGTTAGACTAGATGACCTCAGAGGTCCCTTTTAGCTCTAGAGCTATGTTCCTATGACCTCAATCTGCCACCTTGAAGCACAAGAACCGTCTTCAAAATCTAGAGGTCTCCCTTGATTCCTGCCTGTTGCAACAGAACAATTCCTTGCCTCTGGCCCTTCAGCTCTGGTTATGTCCAAAGCAAAGAGGATGAAGAAGGTAGCAGGGATAGAGAGGAAAAGAGACTAGAACAGAGATATAGTGGGGTGGGATGGGCTGGGCCAAATGGAGAAGGGAAGGGACAGAAGAGGGGGAACTGAGAAGAAGACAGAAGGTTAGAACTGAGAAGGAACTGGGAAGCTGAATTATGGAGCCTAGAATCCTCAAACAAGAAGAGGCCTTGGACCAGGGCTGTGCTGGAGACAGCTCATACCAGCTAGATGTTGAATTTTCAGTGTGAACATTTTCATTGCAGAAATTCTGCAAATGCTGCATATCAGGGCTTGATTGATTTTTTTTTCTTTTTTTGGCTAGGCAATGGGGTTAAGTGACTTGCCCAGGGTCACACAGCTAGTAAGTGTTATCTGTCTGAGTCTGGTTTGAACTCAGGTCCTCCTGAATCCAAGGCCAGTGCTCTATCCACTGCGCCACCTAGCTGCCCCTTGGTTGATTTTTTTGTTGATTGTCTAGACTTAAGAAAGTTATGGAGAAAATGCTAATAACGCAAATTAAACTTTAAAATGTGTCATGAATGCTTTTCTTTTTTTCCCAGAGAGCTGATTGTTCGTCTTTTACCAGCACACCACTGCCTGGCACCATAGAATGTCTGAGGTCAGAGGGACCTTAATGTATAGATTGACAGAGCAGTCTGTAGGACATAGAATGTCTGAGCTGAAGGGGACTTAGAACATGGAATGTCAGAGTGTAGAAGGCCCTCAGAGACTAATGCCTCCATTTTACATATGAGAAAACTGAGGTTCAGAAAAGAAAGGAACCTAAGAGCCAACAAAATTAGCCACTGAGGCAAGGTTTGTTGACTCCCAGGCTGGTGGCCTTCCCACCAACCTGAGTAGGATTATGAGGAACCCTGGCTTCTCCAGGCTGGCTGGCTACAATATCCCACCTAGAGTACTGACTCCAAGATCACCATGGCTCGAATGCCTGGTCCAGTGGGCATCCCTGGGCACCTGAACGAGGACAAAAGGAACAAAACAGAAACAAACACCACCACCACCCCAAGGCACACTTCTTGGAGCCTTTCCAATTCACCCACCAGCTGTGTGTGACCTTCACCCTCTAGATGCAGTAGGAAGGAAAGAGACTACTCCAGTGTGGCCCGTTTTAAACACATAGCCAATCAAAGGAGATTCCCACCCACGTGGTAGGAGCACAAAGGTCCCCAGGTGCCTCCATGTTAGGCTATCTGGGATTGGTGAAGCATCAGGTCAAGCTCCCTTACACTTGGAAGAGGGGTGGACTTCATCCAGCCATAGCCAGGAGATGAAAAAGGAATCGTTAATAGGGGTGGTAACTGTAAGGCTAACTTATCTCTGACATTTACTGTTGATATGAGCTAAAGTGAATATCTTGCCTCTCCAGGTCTCAGTTTCTCCATTTGTAAAAGGAGAGCATTAGAGAAAATAGCCTTCAAGGTCCCTTCCAGCTCTAGAACTAGGATCTTACGACATTTAGTAAGGTTAAATTCTCCACCTTGGGTTCCAATGTCCACATCATCAGTGCAAGGTGAGGGAAGGGAGGCAGGGAGAAGGATTTGAGGGTTTTAGTGGGCTGCAAGCTCCGTGTGAGTCAACAGTGGGATGCCACAGAAAAGGACTAAAGCAATCTTAGGTTACATTGTATCGTCCAAGACAAAGGTGACAACTCTGCCCTCATGTACCCTGGGATCACATTTGGAATATTGTGTTCGGGTCTAGGCTAGAAAGGACTTTGATGAGCTACACAGTATCCAGAGAATATAATCAAGGGGATGGCAAGAGGTTTTCAGTTCACGCCATATGAGGATAAATACAAATCAGTCCTCAGTTGGGGAGGACAGCATGTTGGACTTGAAGTCTAGTAGACCCGAGTTCAAATCCTGCCTCGGGCAAGATACTCAGCCTCTTTTTGCCTCAATTTCCTCATGTTTATATATTGTATCCCCCCTTTACGCAGTAAGCTCCTTAAGGGCTGGGATTGTTTTTTGCCTTTGTATCTCCTATGCTGAGTGTGTTGCCTAGTACTCAATAGGTGCTTAATAAATGTTGATCGACTTGACTTGAGGCCAAACAAATCCAATCCTGCCTAGCTGTGCGGTCCCGGACAAGTCACTTAATTTCTCAGCCTTAGTATCTTCATCCATAAAACAGAGATGATAATATCACTTATTTCAAAAGTTGTTGTGAAGATCAAATGTGATGTTTGTAAAGCACTTTGTAAACCTTAAAGACCAATATATAGATGTGAGCTATTACGCCTGGCCTAAAGAAGAATGAGGTAAAGGGGGAGACATGACAGGTATGTCATATAAAAGAGGGTTTAGATTGGTTCCATTTGGTCCAAAGTCAACGAGCACTTACTAATGCACCAGGCGCTAGGGATACAAAGAAAGGCAGAAGAGAGAGTCACTGTCTTCAAGGAGCCTGCCTAATAGAAGTCAGAAGCCGTGACACGAGGACATTCTCAACGTCTCTCTGAAGAGCTCTGGAATTGACTGTGAGACGAGGGAGTTTCTGAATGCAGTAGGAGCCAGCCTCCTTCCTACCTTCAAGCAAACACTGGATGACCCTTGTGGAGTATTTTGTAGTCAAGACTCTTTTCTAGGCACTAGATGGTTGATGAGGTCCCTTCAACTACAAAAGTCTATCATTTTATGCAGCAATTAGAGGGAAAATTGGAGGAGTGAGAAATTAGACTTGGTCTGATAAGCTTAGAAGGTAGAATCAGAGGCAATGTGTACAGGAAAGCCATTTCCGCTCAGTATATGGAAGAATGGCACTAGGTGGCACCATAGTGCATAGGGTGCAAGGCCCAGTGTCAGGAAGACTCTTCTTCCTGAGTTCAAATCTAACCTCAGACACATACGAGCTGTGTGATCCTGGTTAAGTCACATAACCCTGTTTGCCTCAGTTTCCTCATCTGTAAAAAGAGATAGAGAAGGAAATAGCAAACCACTCCAGTACCTCTGCCAAGAAAACCCCAAATGGGGTCATGAAGAGTCAGACACAACTGGAATGACTAAACCAGTCAACATATGGAAGGATATTCAGATACCTAGACCTGTCCAACCAAAGAATGAATTGCCTCTGGAGATAGTGAGCTTCCCATTCCTTGGAAGTGTGCAAGAAAAGACTGAATGAATCATAATAGTAATGTTACAATATTAGTAACATGATCATATACGTACAGTATAATACTTGCTCACAGTTACATAGCACTTTTTAAGGTTTGCAAAATGCTTTACAGACACTGCATTTGAAACTCACAACTTCACAAATTAGGTGTTATTATTACGTTTAACTTCACATCTCTGACTATTTGGAAATCAAGTCATTCCTTCCAAGGCACAAGTGAAGAAGCTAACTGTCTTTCTCAACCCTGCAGCTTGCAAAGCAAAGGCCAGATATCTTTCCTTAAAATAATATTGGCCAGGGGCAGCTAGGTGGCGAAGTGGGTAGAGCACCAACTCTGAAGTCAGGAGGACCTGAGTTCAAATCCAGTCTCAGACCAAACACTTCGCACTTACTAGCTGTGTGACCCTAGGCAAGTCACTTAACCCCTATTGCCTTAAAAAAAATTAAAATAATGTTGGCCCAATTGTATACTTATCTTCCAGAGATGTGACTGTAGTCAAGACAGAATATGAAGAACAAGGCAAGAATTGGTGGAAAACTGAGAAGGCTAAATGCCTGGAGCATAGTAGGTCCTTAATAAATTCTCATTGATTTTACAAATGAGGAAAGCAAGGATCAGAGATTTAAAGTGACTTACCAAAAATTTTTTAAAAATTAAATTTAAAAAAAAAAAGAAAGTAACTTACCTAAGGTCACACAGCAAATGTCCAAAGTAGAATTTGAACCCCGAGCTTCCTGATTCCAAGTTCAGCCCTTTATCCTCTTAAAGCCCTTTTCCTATATTATCTCACCTGGTCGTCACAACAATCACAACAACCCTGTGAGCTAAGTGCCGTGATTAGTTGCATTTTATAGACAAGGAAATTAGCAAGTAGTCGAGCATTTCCATTGGCTGTCCCCCATGGCTCAAATGTCCTCTCTCCTCTTCTCCCCTTCCCGGCTTCCCTAGCTTCCTTCAAGTCCCAGCTGAAATCACACCTTTTACAGGAAGCCTTTTCTGATTCCTCTTAATGTTAGTGTCTTCGCTCTGACGATTATCCCAATTTATTCCCATCTAGAGCCTGATCATAGTTATTTATATGTTGTCTCCCCCATTAGACTATGAACATTTAGTAATGACTTTTACCTTTCTTTGTATCCCAGACCTCAGCCCAATGCCTGGAACGTAGGAGGCACTTAATATTTATTGACTGACTACGATCAAGGAGGCTTCTTGAACGGGGTGGGAAATCTGACTGGATAATCTCTAGGGTTCCTCCTAACAATAAATGTGGTCTTAGTAACAATTTGTGGTCTTTGTAAAGTGACAGCTTCCCTGGATGTCAGCTTATGTGCCAAATACTGAGCAGATGAAAGTTGCAAAGAGGTAGATTTGAATTTGACATAAGAAAAAACTCCTAACAATATGAGCTGACTCAAAGCTCCCTTGGGGAGATAAGCAGGGGGTTTAGCAGGTTCACCCTCGATGGGAGTCCTTAAGCAAGAGTTGGATGACCACTCATCAGAAATGATGTCATGGGGCTTCCTACCTAGGTATGCTGGGAGAGCTCACCCAGTTCTGAGATTCTGTCATTTGCCTTTCAGCTTTCCCCAGCACTCCACGTTTTAAGACGCTTCTCACCCCTTGCATTCCCAAAACCTAGCATTACATTAGTGAACCTTTTGAGAATGTCAGTTTGCCAGAAAGCACGTGTGGAGTGACTGCCCTCTGCTGGATAGACATGCCCCATGCTGGTGAAAATCCAGGTCAGTGCTTCCCAAACTAATTCATTCAAGGAAAGACTCTGAAATGTGAGAGGCTTCATACATATTGGTGCAAGGAGCCTAAGGGGATAGACCCCTCAGATGTAGGGAAGTAGAAGGAATTTAGGGAGGCAAAATAGAGCCAATTTTCATTCAGAAAATTTGCCAGTTGACTTGGAGTTGAGGAGAGGAGGAAGCTTTCAGCTCTACACAAGAAAGTGTTCATTATGGAGACGAAGAGAAAAGGAAGGAGACACATGACTTGCCATTAGATCTAGACACAATTTTGTTTTTTCAGCTCGAATTCAAACTGAGCAGATTCCCCAGAATAAATTCAAAATAGTATGTTTTTTCGACAATATTTTAGCATAATTAGTATAACTCAATTATTAGTCTATGTACAATGATTATTGGTATTTTTCATAAACTAATGAATGACACATCCCTGTACTAGAAATATCAACCCTAAAATATCCTTGAGAAGTCAAAAAATAAACTGAACCATCATTAATAGATTCAACTATTGCCCACAATTGTCCAGATACAATATTGATTTAAAGAACAATCCTTTTTAAGTGTGTCACTATACAAATTACTCGTAATCTCAAAAAACACTGAAATATTCTCAAAATACAGAGATCTTGTAGGAGGAGGGGAGGAGTCCGAGAATTCCAGGTCTCAACTCAGCCCGGGTAACTCCAAGACGGATCACACAAGGAGGAGAGGGGACTTGGTGGGGATCGAGCTGCAATGGATTTGAGGGATGCTGGAGGAAAAGTCCCACCGCATTTCACGCAGAAGTGTAAAGAAGGTCCTGAGGGGGAAGAGGACTCAGTGACAAGGCAACCCTGCAATCCAAAGCCAGACCTTTTGGTTTCATTTGATTGGATTCCTGTCCACATGGCAAGCATCCTGTGAGACAGTGTGTGTGAACTAGTCAAACTAGCCTTATGCTTTCTCCCTCAAGTCACAGGCTAAATATATCTTCCCTTCGAGTTTTCCTCTCATTTCCTGCATATTCGCATGCGGCTACCTCCATTAGACTGTGAGCTCCATGAAGGCAGGGATGGGGGGGCGGGGATTGCCTTTCTTTGTATATCCAGTGCTTAGCCCGGTGCCTGACACACAGTAGGTACTTAATGTATAAGTGCTCGTTCACCGACTGACTGGTCATTTCCTTCCAGCTCCATTCCCATTTCCCATAAGCTTCCTAAAGAGATACTTCTGGGCTCTGGGATGCCGATTCCTCCTTCTCCTCTCCATCTTCACCCCCCTCTTCCCGGCTCGAGGTGCAGCTAAAGGAATCCTGGTGAGGCCTCGAGGCTCTTCCAGCTCGCGCTCAGAAGGTCAGGGAGCGGAGAGGGAGGCACGTTATCAACTACCTCTCCCCGACCCATAAGCCTGGCACATTACCAAATGGGACTGCCGGAGCCTCGGCGGAAACGACAAATAGGTTCAGCCTAGCGCGGGACTGTCAAAGCCAAGCCTCCTACTCTTCCCAAATAGATCCCGTGGGCAGGATGGACAGCCCCAGAGATGGGTCCTAAGTCTTCCTAAACTGGTCCTCGGGGGACTCGGATACCGCGAGTGACTCCAGCTACGACAGCAGTGAGTGGGGCTTCACTCCCTCACCAAGGTCCTCACAATGGACTGAGAAATCGCCGGCCAAATTGGTGCTCCGTCGGCGACCCAGCTGGATGTCCGTCTGCCCTCTGTGCTCTGGCCAAGGGCCAGAATGGGTTCGCGTGGTCCAGGAGCCCCCGTACTCGATCCAGATCCAACCACCTGACGACCCTTTGGGAAGCAAAGACGTACAGCCCTTCTTACCAACATGGCACACCACAGACCAGGACGACCCCGGGAGCCACCGACAATCTTACAACCGGTAGGTAAGAGGGCAGGGCCAGCTGGTAGGAGTGGAGGGAGCAGGGTGCATGCAGGTGGAACAGGAATGGGAATCCACCTGGGTAACTGCAAGATGGGAGCTGGGCAGTGGGTGGCAATATATGAATAGTCAGTCTAGCCCTCCTCTAGCTACCCGGACTCTGGCAGCCGGCAGAAAAGAGAGTTCGCGAATGCCTAAGGAGAAGGGAGAGAAAGAGGGGCGTGATGAGGCTAAGAATAAGCTCTGGTCAGGTCTGAGACGGAAACAGAGGCAGCAAAGTGAGAGGGGCTTTGGCTAGGAGGCAGATGGAGCGCTAGAGGGGTGCGGGGGGTCAGAGAAGGGAGGGGGGACGGGATAGAGAGGGATGAGAAAAGAGACCAAGGAGTGGGACCAGGAGGGAGGGGGGGAGAGGTAGAGGGGGAGAGAGAGAGAGAGAGAGAGAGAGAGAGAAGAGAGAGAGAGAGAGAGAGAGAGAGAAGAGAGAGAGAAGGGAGGAGGAGGAGGAGGAGGAGGAGGAGGAGGCAGAGGAGGCGAGAGAGGGAGAGGGAGATGAAGAGGGAAAGAGGAGAGAAACAGAGAGAGACAGAGATGGAGAGAGAGAAGTGGGGCCAGGATAGAAGGGATAAGAAAAGATATTGGAGAGGGGCTGGGACGAGATGAGAGGTGTTTGAGGCTTCACTTAATAAAAGGAATGTTGGATTAGATTGGTTTAGACTGGAAAGAGGACTGAGAATGAGGCGACGTGGCCAGAACGATGGAGGGGGCGGGGCCAGGACAAAGGAACTTGTGGGGCCAGGAGATAGGGGCGTGGTGGGAGGCCTGATAGAAAAAAAGGTGTGTCCAAGGCGGGGAGGGGGGAAGTTGATGGAAGGGAGGCGTGGCCAAGGATAAAGAACGGGAAGAGAGCAGTGACGATGCGGATGGAGATTCAGAATGGGAAACTGTGAGGCTAGGGGCGGAGCTATAAAGGAAAGGGGCGGGGAGTGCTCAGAGGGAGGGGTAGTAGCCAGTATCCCAAAGAGGAAGAGGGAAATTGGATGTCTCAGTCTCTGTTTCCCCACCTGTAAAACGTGGCTAATACTAGCCCCTCCCTCCCGGTTTGTGGAGAGGATCCCATGAGATAACATCCTTGGAGATTGATTCTGCGGGCCAGCCGGCAGAGGGGTCGGTGGGATGAGTGGACGCCCACCCGATCTGAGGCTCATCCCCGCCACCGGCTCGCTCCAACTCAGCTTCTTCCAAGGCCTCCGAACCACCTCCCTTGCCCCTCCCCCGCAGGGCATCTTCTCCTCCAGGTTCCGCCCCCGCCCTCCCGCGGTCCCGCCTTCTTCCTTACCTTCCCTGGTCTCCTAGCCCCGCTCCTCCTCCCAGCTCCAGCGCCCATCTCCCGGCTGGCCACGCCTACATCCCCGCCCCGTTCTTCTACAAGCCCCACCCTCTCTCACCGTTCCGTCTCAGCCGGAGCTCCTCCTGGCCTCGCCCACATCCATCCCTCCCTGATCCCCGCTGACTTGCCCCATCGCCTCAGCACTCCAGGCCTCTTCTTCAAGCTCTTGCCCCAAGCTAAGGGCTCCCATACTTCATGCGCTCCTCCTGCTACGTTCCCCCTTTTCATGCACCCCCAGCTACCGCGCCAGCACCGGGACCCCTTTCCGAAAGCGGGCGTTTGCGCAAAACCAGGAACTGCTGGCAGCCTGCTTGGGTAACCTGGAGTGGCTTCATCACAGCCTGAAGCACCGAAAGGGCGTCCGCTCTGACTGCAGGGTGCGCCTCACGGGCACTCGGGGGAGGCGCGGGAAGAGTTGCGGCCCCGGGTGCACCGAGGATCTCAGGCTACGATGGGCAGATAGATGCAGCCTCTGCTCTCAGGGAGACCTGCCTGGTCCGCTGAACCAGAGGCTGTCTCAAGCACATCGTGCCCACAGTCAAAGCTAGCGACAGGAGGCCCCAGGGAGAATATTAGTCCCTGGAGATTAGTCTGGGGCAGTGACTGGGGTGGGAAAACCAAGGAGAAGGAGGGTGAGGAGGCAGAGTGGGGACCTCGGTTCTAAAGGAGCTAGGGAAGGGGTTAGGCAGGTAAACCGGACAGGAGTGGACGGCTATACTCCAGGGTGGAGAGAGGGAGGAAGCGAGAGATGTAGCTCAACCATGCCTTTCTTCCTCCCTTCTTCTTGCCCCTCTCTCCTTCACCTCCACCAGGGCTTCACAGCCCTCCACCTGGCAGCTGAACGTGGCCACCTGGACTGCATGATAGCGCTGGTGGATCGATACAAGTTCCCGCTGTCAATGACCACGAACAAGGGCTGGACTCCCCTTCACCTGGCCATCAGCAAGGAAAACTCAGGCGTGGCCCTTAAGTGTGTTCAGTTCCTTCTGGAGAAGGGAGCTCCAGTCAATGTGTGAGTACCAAGGCCCTGCCACTGCCTGTACCTCCAGCACCCTCAGAAGACAGCATGGCTAAGTAACAGAAGGTCAGTCCACATCAGGATCACCTGGGTCTATATCCCACCTTGGACCCAGACTGGCCATGTGATCCTGGCAACTCTATGACTAAGAGGGATGGAAAGTTGCAGGTCTGCTAGTGACCGATATTTCCACACTGAGAATTCCCTCATGCAGATGAAATCAGGAGTCTCTATCTTCCCCCCCAAATACATCTAGGATAATTCCCATTTCTATAACTTTGCAAAAGTACTTTCCTCACATCCACCCAATGAAGGGAGTCCTGTAAGCTTATCTCCATTTTACAGATGAGGAAACTGAGGCTTACAGAGGAAATGACTTGTCTAGGATCACACTAGTAAGTGTTAATTATGGAATCACTTAGTGCTATAGCCAGGAAAGATTTAGAAGACCTACTTCTACCACCACTTTTTCTGGTGTGACCTTGGGAGAGTCCCTTCCCCTTTGTGGGTCTTGGTTTCTCCACCTGTAAAATGAGCATATTGGACTAAATGGGGGGGGTGTCCTGGGCCCTTTGGATAATCTGGTGAAACCTGTGGACCCCCTTCTCTGAATCATGTCTTTAAATGATTGGAAGAAATGCTAAATCGTAGTTAGGGGCTGGTGAAAATAAAATTGGAACCCCTATGATGAGCTGGTGGTGATGACCTTATATGTCTATTCTCTTCTTGACCTTCACAGTATCCATTGTCTATTTAAGCCTCAAATAGCCTGGTGAGAAGTAGGCAAGGCAATGGTTAGATTATGCCCATCTGACAGATCAGGGAATTGAGGCCAATAGGGGTGAGATGACTTGCCCAGGGTCACACATCATCTTGTGTCCTTTCTGCTATTAATTCCTGCTGCCTTTCACCATTCCCACTCTGTCACGCTTTTTCTAGCCAGAATCGAAATGGCATTACCCCTCTGCACCTGGCAGCCTGGGAGGGCATGCTGGACTGCATAAAGGTCCTGGTGAAAGCTGGGGCTGATGTACACGCCCTCGACAGGCAGAACAGGAAGAGCATTGACTTATGCAGGCTGTGGAACCACCGAGAATGTGCCCGGTAAGAGCCCCCACGAAAAGGCAGCAGAGAGGGCTTAGAGGGCAGAGACTGGGATGGATAGAGAAGGCATTGGGCCCCTTTCCATGACATCTCTCCCAACCCCCATCCCACCTCAGATTAGAAGAGCCTCCAGAGTTGTCAAGGTGGAGGACAAGTGGAATTGGCCACCTCCCTGACCTCAGTTCCTAAAACTCCCACTAAGCTCACTGGGGCAGATTGAGCATTGCCCTCTGATACCAAAAGCCAGGGCTCCCATTTCCCAATTAGCCCCACTGTGCAGAAAAGTCAGAGGAGTTACCTGCCATAGCTAGTTAATGGGTGGTCCGAGACAGATATGAACCAAGGTCCTCTGACTCCTTCTGTACATCTCTGGGAAGGGGAAAATGTTCACAGGATCCCAGAATTGGAGCTAGAAAGGGCCCTTGGAAGTCAGTGAGTCTAACCCGCTCACTTTAAAGAGGAGGCAATGGCATCCCAGAGATATTTAAAGACCTGCCCAGAGTTCTATGGGTGGTATTAGAGCCAGGCTTTCCTCAGCCCAAGTCAAGGGTTCTCTCCATTGCTATGCCAGTCTTGCCTCTGTCTCATTCATTTAATGAACATATTAAATGCCTACTATATGGTCTCCAGTTCTGGGCTTTGGGAAGATACAAAGATCACATAAAATGAGGTTTTTGGTCTGGGTGGCAACAGGAAGGGGGAGGATGAGAGCCACAAAAACACAGTAAATCTGCAAGAAGCACAGAGAAGCAAACAGGAATAGAGGGAAGAGGGAGCCAGGACAGCTCAAGGAGGAAGCGCCTCTCACCCCACCCAATTCCTAACAATCCTAACAATCCAATGGATCCTTGGTCACTAAGAGTCAAACGTGACTGAAACAACCGAACAACAATGCAAAGGAACAAACCTAATCCTAACTCCATGGCCTAGGAGGTCCCGTTCAGCTATGGTCCCTATAACTGCATTCTGAAACTGAAGGGCACCAGTTGAGGGTTGAAAGGGGTCCAGGAAGGAGAGAAGCAGCCCACTGGAGACACAGTCAACTTCACCCTTTCTTCTGAAGGTGGATGTCCTCTCCATATTCTTGGCCTTCTCATACAGTCTTTCTCTGGGAGAGGCTTTTGGAGGTCACCTCCTTCCCTCCTCTGCCTCCAAGCAGGACTGTGTGCTACACACCCCATTCCCTAGCTCATTCAGCGCTCCTCACCCTCACCCTTCAGTGTCCTTCTGTCCTTCCCTTGAGCAAAGTATGTAGAAAAACTTATCCATACAACTGCTGGCCCTCACTTAACAACCATATTAAGAGCCCACTATAAAATGGCCTGGGGGAGATTAAATAAAAAGTTAAATAAAATACGAATAACTAGGCGTGGGGGGGGGGTTAGCTGTTGTTGCCAGTGGGTACAAATGGTTTGGAGGGCAGAAGGGAATTGATTTGAAGGTCAGCCCCAAAGAAGGTACAAACAGCACTGACCCCCTGCTTCCTCACTTCTGCCCACCCTAAACCCAGGTTCTTGAAGGATGCTATGTGGAAACAGGACAAGAAAGACTTGGCTGAAGAGATGGGTCAACTGAGTCAGCTTAAAAAGCGATTGCTGGTCATGCAGAATAAATACCTCCTTGAAAAGAAGGTAGCCAGAGGCAGGAAGATGGCAGGAAAGGACCATCAAATGCTCGGCTGGCGAGCTTCTTTGGGAAGGGGACCTGTGGAAGGGCTGAGGGAGGGAGGTCTCAGAGGACCCAGCTCACTGAATTCCTTTTGCTTCAGACCTGGGGCTCTTGAGTTTCTATCCTTCCTTGGTCATGGAAACCCAACCTCAGCCCTTGACATTTTGGGTCCCTTGGTTGGCTTGGTGCCTTGGGAAAACTACTCCAAAGCTCCCTACGGGCCTAACTTCTGCCCATTCTCGGTGCCCAGTGCCAGTTCCCATTCCATTCTTCTCTTGTCTCTGACACTACTTTTACACTTTATTTCCATGGAAGCTACCAAAAAGTTCAGAATAATAGTTGTGAGGAAAGGACCCATTCCTTAGCACCAGTCCAGCTAACGTTGATGATTTGAGGACAAGCTAGGTGGCTCCCCATTCTGGAAGTCTTCAAGAAGCTGGATGAACACAGTCAGGATACATGGTAAAAGGGAATCCATGAAAAGAATGAGCACTTCTTCTCCATGTTATACATCCCTCATTTAACAGGTATTGATCGACTCTGCGCCAGGCAGTGTCCTAGGTGCTGAGGATGGAGGCAAACACGAAATAGCCCCTGTGGCCTTGGATACATCACTTACCCTCAGTTTCCTTACCTGTTAAGGGGGAAGAAGTGAAGGGTGAATTAGTTGGCCTCCAAGGTCCCTTACAGCTCTAGAACTATGATTCTATTTACACAATAAGCAGAAATTGTGGAGTTCTCGATGTGCTGTAAGAAATATGGGTTGAACATGAATTAGATGGGTCCGGGAGTAGAGGCGAGTTTTGCCTGTTGTTGTTCAGTCATATTCACCTCACCCCATTTGGGATGTTCTTGGCAGAGGTATTGGAGTGGTTTGCCATTTCCTTCTCCAGCTCCTTTTATGTATAAGGAAACTGAGGTAAACAGGGTTAAGTGACTTATCCAAGGTCACATAGTAGGAGTGTCTGAGGCCAGGTTTCATATTTTCTTGGCAGAGATACTAGAGTGGTTTGCCATTTCCTTCTCCAGCTCCTTTTATGTATAAGGAAACTGAGGTAAACAGGGTTAAGTGACTTATCCAAGGTCACATAGTAGGAGTGTCTGAGGCCAGGTTTGATATTTTCTTGGCAGAGATACTAGAGTGGTTTGCCATTCTCTTCTCCTGTTCATTTTGCAGATGAGAAAACTGAGGTGAGCAGCGTTACATAATTTGTCAGGGTCACACAGCTAGTAAATGTCTGAGGCCACATTTGAACTCAGGTCTTCCTGACTCCAGACAGAGCTCGCTTTCCTCTGACTCTAAACCTCAGACTCATTTCCCTACCAGGATCCACTCTAAAATTACACTGGAAGTTCCCTTCTTTGAAATAGTTTGCCACACCCCCTTCCCTCCCCTGATCTCCCCAGAGGAAGTTTTCTCCCACTCTGGGCAAGGCTGTCTTCCCCCAGGTGTGTGACCTGTAACAGTGCTCCCTCCCTCGCATCTAGAGGCTGGGCTCAGGACAGAGCCATCGGATTCTTGTTTACTGACACCTGACAAAGAGTGGCCTTCTAGTAGAACATTAGGGCAGGAACTTGTTGTATGCCTGTCTAAATACGGTATCTGGCACATTTTTTGTTTTTAGTGGTAGCGGCATAGTGTCCAGACTTGTGATTTCATTGACAAAAGGAGGAAAGATTCCCTCTGTCTATGTAAATCAGCAATTCCTCTAAAATTTCTAGTTTCAGGGAGTGGCCTGTGTTCCAAAGAGCTGAAATGACTTTACCCAGAGTCATTTAGCCTAGAGGCCAGTCCACCTTGGCCCTCTGTCCAATGCAACAACCTGTCTCTCATTGGGCCACGTATTCAATTTTTTAAAGACAGTCTCTTCTCTCTTGGTATTTACAGTGCAGTGAGGGGGTAAGACAAAGACTTTAATAATTATAATAGACAATATTATTCCATGATAAGTGCATTGGAAGACCAGGTCAAAATGTAGGGGAGGGTGGGGTACAGAGATCAGGGAAGGGGAAAGTGCTGCATTGTGAAGGGCCTTGAATGGAGAGGGTCTTCATTGCCCTGCAACTGCACAGTCCTGTCAAAATAGTGTCAGGAGGGTTAAAGCTCAGAATGGAATGTCAAGGAAGCTCAGGATGACAGATGGGTTGAGAAATTTTAAAGCTATATTGGGAGAAAAGTGAAAACCAAAAAAAGGGATGAGACCTTTGCTTGGGATGAATTGGACCTTTGCTTAGGAGGTGTATAGATCAATAACTGACAAGACAGTTCAAATCCAGTCAGACACTTGACACTAGTTTGTGCGACCCTGGGCAAGTAACTTAACCCCATTGCCGAGCCAAAAAATTAACAAACAAATAAACAAACAAAAACTGATGAGAAAGAAGGCAGAGCTCTTTTATTATTATTATTATTATTATTATTATTATTATTATTATTATTATTATTAGCTTGTTTTCTCTGCCAAGGGGAAAGACCTTTGGACTGGAAAGGACAATGGCTAACAGGGCATTGATGCCTGGAATAAGTAGGGAGAGAATAGGAGATGTCCTAGTTTCTTTGATGAATTCTAGTCACCTGGCCCAGATGAACCAAGTCCTTGGGTACTGAAAAGAATTGACAGATGCCTCCCCCCACCCCATCAGTAATATTTGAAAGAGCATGGAAAACAGGAGAGGTGCCACAAAGTTGGAGAAGGTCAGACGTCTCAATTTTCAAAAAAGGGAAGAGAACAGTATCTCAGTGTCTGCAAGCTCTAGGCCAGTGAGCTTAATTTTGATTCTTGGGAAAATTCTAGAACAGATCATTAAAGATCTAGAAAGGGTAGCAGTGATACCAAGAGCCAGCAGGCCTTCATCAAGAGCAGATCATATACTAACCTCATTTCCTTTTTTGACAGGTTTCCTTAAATGGTTGATCAGGGGAATGTTGTAGATAGAGTTTACCTCGGTTTTAGACAAGCTTCTGACCAAGTATCTCATATTATTCCTGTAGAAAAGATGGAGAGTTGGGGGCTATACTATCATACAGTCAGATGGCCTCAGAATTGGTTGGATAGTTAATACTCAAGAGTAGTCATCAAAGGTTTGACATCAATGAAGTTGGAGGTCTACAATGCAGTACCCAAGGGATCTGTGGTTGGTTTACCATTATCATCAACGTCTTTGGCTAAAGGCATATATGGGATGCTCACCAAATGTGCAGAGATACAAAGCTGGGAGGGATAGTTGATGACAAAATCCAGATCCAGAGGGTCTTAAAAGGCTAGAACGTTGGGCTGAAAGTAATAAGGTGAAACAATAGAGATAAATATAAAGTCTTATCCTTGAGTAAAAAAAAATGGCTTCAAGTACAAGGTGAGGAAAGCATGGTTGGAAAGCAGTTTGTCTGAAAAAGATCTGGGGGTTTCAGTGCTTCATATGTGCTTCATGTGAGAGTGCCCAAAAAAGCTAATGGGATTGTAGGCTACATTAAGGGGCAGAGCTTCCAGGAAGAGAGGGATGATAGTCCCACTGTCTTCTGCTCTGCTGAGATCTCATCTGGAATATTATGGTCATTTAGGTTGCTACAGTTTAAGGACGTTAACTGGATAGAATTTATAGGAGCTTGGAAGCCATGTCATACAAAGACCAGTTGGAGGAAATGGAGGTGTCTAGCACAAAGAAGAAAAGACTGGGGGGAGGGGAGGGCAAAGAGGGAGGGGTGGAACGTAATGGCCACCTTCGAGGGTCTAAAGGAGTGTCATGGCGGAAGGGTTAAACTTGCTTGGCCGCACACTGCAGAACCTGGAACATTGGAGGAAGATAGAAACAAATCTAGGTTTGGAGGCAGGACAAATGTCTTAACCATCAGCATTATGTGTAGTGAGGTGGAATAGGCTGCTATAGAGTGGTGGGGTCCACCTCCTTGGAGGTCTTCAGGAAGACAATGGATAACCACTTGCCCTTAGGTTGTAGAGGGAATTTCTTTGAAGGTACATATGGCTTGGACTAGATGCTTACGAAGTCTTTGCTAATTGCGAGTGCCTGGCTAAGAGGAGGGAGCTCGAATGCTGTGCAATAAGGGGCTGGGGAAAGTGACTCTCAGATGTGGGGAAGTGGGGGTTGAGGGCGGGGGGGTGGAGGGTAACCTCTGGCCCGATCAATCACGCATTCCTTCTTGTCGTTCCAGAAAGAGAAGGAGGCCCAGAACCAAGTCGCCTTCACCCAATGGCTCCAAATTAAGCCTCTGCCCAGATTGCCCAAGATTACGATCCTGGAGCCCTCCCGGGTTACGAAGGAATCCGCCCCGGTTACGAAGGAATCCGCCCCGGCTATGGAGAAATCCGCCCGGTTTACTAAGAAATCTGTCCCGGAGCCTCCTCGGTTTACGATGGAGGCCTCCCACATTAAGAAGTACCCCCACGTTACGAAGCCGCAGCCCCCGCGGAGGCCTCACCCGCCCTGCAAGCGGCGCCCCGTTTTGATTCTCCCCGCCCGCCGAAGATTCCGCCCCCTCGAAGGGAACCCAGCCTTCGAACACCGGCACCCCCTTAACCGTTCTTCCCTCTTTAAGCCCTCTCATTCCGAGTTATCAGTCCCGGTCCATCTCCCGACCCGCCTCCGGTCCCTTGTCCTCGTCCAGCCCCCGGTCTCCTCGTTTCAGCTCCCATTCCTCTCATAGCCCCTCTCCCCCTTTGACTGTCCGCTCACGGGGCTCCACTCTGTTCAAGTCGGCTGTCGGAGCGTCCAGCTCGTCGCGCCGGGCTACGATCTTCCACCCGTCCCCCAGCTTCCCGCTAAGCCTCCAATACTACCCTAGGTCTAACCACCGCCATTCTTATCCACTTCTACACACGCCATCACCACAGCGGACTCTCTCCGAGTCTCAGCTACAGTACGGCCAGATAGAAGCTATCTTCCCAGCCGCAAGCCCGCCGATGCACCCGCTGGCTCTCTTAGACATCCACTTAGCGGACATCCCCCTAACCGCTCCCCCGGCCCGGTCGTCCTCGCCCTTCCACTGGGCTGCCAAATGGAACTCGAGCACCAAGGCCGATGCACGACCGGTCACCCGGATCGCCTTCCCGCAGGTTGTGCGCCTGGGTGTGCACCCGGACCCGACCCCGGAGCCCGACTTCTGCAACTTCCTTAAATTCTACCCCAACGGCGAGGGCGGGGCGCTCATCCAAACTGCCGACGGCCAGTGGATCTTCCCAGTGCCCCGACTGCCCTTCAAGGTCCTGCTCCGAGAGCTGTGCCCCGAGCGGGCGTTCCCAGCGCCTGAAGGTGCCGGAGGGGCTGAGGCGCATCACCGTCCAGGACCTGCCCCGGAGGCGCTACCCCGGGGATCAGTGCTTCTGGACAGATTCCATGGCCATGAGCCTCCGGGACACCTTCGACCCAGCCTTCATCTCCTTGGTGCGAAAGCACCAGGGGCTTCCTGCCCTCTCCCCCACCTCCTCGTCTTCCTCCTCCCTCACCTCTTCAGTCGCTCTCAGACCGTGTTGGGCCCTCCTCTTCTATGCTTTTAATAACCCCCCCTCATAAAGTAAGTTTATTGACTTTTCCTTCTCCCACGTGACTGAGCTTCTATTCACAGTCTAGGGGTATGGAAGGTGTTGGAGTGATGGAGAAGGGGAAAACAGCAGCCCCTCCCTAACCTCAGACTTCAGTTCAGACCACCCAGGAACTGGAGACCGGATTTTGGGCCCTTGCCTTTGCCTAACAGGATAGGCTGTAAAGACCCTGGATTCTCACCTACTACCCCCACTTTCCACTCCCCCAACCTCCACACACCCCCAGGGGAATGGGTTGGGGACTATTCTGAAGAGAGAAACTTGTCTACAAGGGGTTGGAGAAATCGCTCTGCAAGGCAAACTAATGAGTTGCCTGAGGCGCGTGTGTGCGAGCGCGCCGAGGAGCAGCGAAGGGCTTGCCAGAGCATCAAAGCCCATCGGGGCATCTCAAGCCCCAGTCCAGCTCTTTGAGGCCCCCACCAGAACCGAGCACCATCAAGTCCCGCTCAGTCCCTCCTGCTTCCAGGTTTAAACCTCTTTCCTCTCGGTTTTGGATGCAGATGAGCTAACCAGCACCATCTAGGGTTCCTTAAAGCGCCCGGATGGCACGGTAGAATTCCCTCAGCAGAATGGCCTTGTCCAGCAGCATCTTTCCCAATCACAGCAGCAAGAAGCCACTGTTGGAGCTGTAGCTGCTTGCTTGCAGCAAGTACCGAGTGAGCAGATCCCCGAGTCTGGGTTTAATGTCCTGTCTCCACCACTCCAGAATCAGAAAGCATTTTATTCTTGGAGACAAAGGATTTCTCTCCAAGAATCCCTCCTGGATGAAAAGCCCTCCTCCCTAGTTTCCATGATGGCCTTCCCTTCGTATCTCTGAGGATCCATAGTCTGCCAAGTCAAGTTGTTGAGTGAAGTACTGGGTATAGCCCTGCACTCAGAGGGTGTGTGTGTGTGTGTGTGTGTGAGTGTGTGTGTGTGTGTGTATATGAGAGAGAGAGACAGAGAGAGAGAGAGAGCTGGGCACCACCTCCTCCTCTCTATGAAGGGTCTGAGGAGGACAACCTCTAGGGTCTCCACCAATAATCTGATTCAACTCCAGCCCAAGCTGTCACCTCTGACCTGAAGAACACCATGTTTGTCCCGTACAGTCTCTGACTGATGATCCAGCCTAGCATGCCTCTCCACAAGCGCTGTGGGAACTCTAGAGCACAGGGACAAGCCCTCCACTCTTGGGCCAGCTGGAATCCCTGCTCAGGTACTGCCTGGGTCAGATGGCCTCTGAGGGCCCAGGGGACCCTGTAGTAAGGACCAGCCCTGGGCACATCTGTTGCAGCCTCCCCTTCCCATAAGGCCTCTAAGGCCTCTACTCGCACAAAAAACGAAGCTGGCAAACTCATTCACACTAATATACTAGGAACTTAATATAGCATGTCTCCCCGGCGACTGATATTTTAGAAAAGGCCCAAAGATTAGTACTTAAATAATATTGTTCTTATGGAATTTCAGGCAAAGTGATGGGCAAAAGCACCCCAAGGGCTCCCCTAACCTGCCCCTTAACTGTCCTCAGGTGTGGCATCAATTCAACCAATGTCAGCAAATGCTCTCGGGCCTCTTCCCTGGCTTCATCCTGCCTGGCTCAAATCAATTGTGGCCTGGCCCTGGGCAAAGTCAACCAGCCCCAAGGCTTCTCCCTCACCCGACCCCGAGATTCACCCAGAAATCACAGGTGCTGGGTCACTTTGACATTCATCTTTTCCCCAAAGAAGCAGGTGTTGTTTCAGCTCAAAGTGCTGCCCCTTCCCCAGGGACAAGTTTCTGTTGTTTGCCTCTGGTACATCTCCAAGCCCCTCCTCGGATTCTCCTCACACTTTGTGATGATGGAGACAATGAACCAAAACCCACTCCCCTGAGCAAGACAAGAGAGGACTGCAGAATGTTTTGTTTTTGGTGAGGCAATTGGAGTTAAGTGACTTGTCCAGGGTCACACAGCTAGGAAGTGTCACGTGTCTGGTCTGAAACCTGACTTGAACTCAGGTCCTCCTGACTCCAGGGCCTAGCTGCCCCTGCAGAATGTTTTTAACCAAGATTTCAGTCCAAATCTCCATCTCCCCCACCACCCCAAACTCTCCAAAGAGGCCCAGAAGCAGGCTAGAACTCTTCCATTTCTGCTCCTCCGGCTGCACACATGATACATCTGGAAGGCTGGGTGAGGGGGAATGAGCAGAACTGTGCTGGGAGAAAGGAGGCCAGAGCTGGAAGTGGGCCGGGAACAAAGAAAGGAAGAGGAGTTTTCAGGGCATTAAGGAAAAAATGCCACCTAGAATCTTTATTCAAATGGGTATTTGTACTTTGACAGAAATCACAGTTCGATTCAACACCAAAAAGCTATTTCCTTTGGAAATGCACCAAGTCATGGCTCCACCCTCAGGGTCCTCTATAGAGAAGAGCCCATCTCTCTCTGCCTTCCCCAAAGCAGAGCCCAGTACTTTGGGACTGATGAACTAGAAAGGGAACTTGGCCCACTATCCCCATTACAGGTCTCAGGAGGAAGGAACGAAGGACAATTTTCGGCCTCCTGGCCCGAAGGTTGCCCAAAGTCCAAAGATGGGCAAGCCCTCCCTAGACAGCTCGCTCTGGACTCCTCCGGAAGCAATGTACAGGTCGCATCACATGGCCTTCAGCTTTATCTGGTCCTGACCAAGACCCCTTAGGGGTGTTTGGGATACGGGAGAGAGGGCCGGGGGGGGGAGAGTCCCCCACAGACATCCACGATGACGACGGAAGATCCAATTCCAGGCTCACTGCCCCAGCTCCCTCCTCCTCACCCCTGGGCCCCCTCCCCAAGTGGTCAGTAAATCTTCTGACGGCTGGGCAAGATGGCCTCTTTGATGAAGGAGAAGACAACCAGGATTCCAGAACGTTTGCCTCGTTTGCCTTTGGTGAAGTAGTTGGAGACCACGTCATCTGTGGAGGTACGGACCAGGATTAGGGGAAGAGTCTCAGGCCTGGGTCCCACGCTTGTGTTTTATTCTTGGCCTGGCGTCTCTTTCCCCACGAGACCAGAATAAAGATTACAAGAAGTGGACAAGGCCTACTTTGCCAGCAGACTAGGGGCTGGACCAGAGGATCCCAGAGGACAGAAGCTATGCCTCTTCCATCAGAACTGGGGCTCCCAAGGGTAGAAACATTCCCCACCCCCTCATCTGACAAGGGGCTTCCCAAGGGCAGGAATTCTGTCTCCTCCAGCCACACCAGAAGCTATCATGTCTCTCTCACCCAAGCCAGCAAGATCGTGAGCGACACACGCATACTCCCCCCCCCCCCAGCCCCTCTCACCTCCAGGCTGTACGGTAGAGGGCAGGACATTCTCCCCAGCAGACAGTGACACAAAGAAAGCAAACGGGATTAACCAGAGGCAGAACGTGAAATAGGCCAGGACCTGTGAAGACAGAGGGTGTGCATGCAGCCTCAAGCCCTGACTGCCCACGCGGCAGGAGCACTGAGACCAGGGAGACTCCAGGAAGCTGGCGAAAATCCACAGGACAATCTGGATAGCCAAAGGGAGGCGGGGAAGAGTGGAAAACCAGGCTAAAACAGAGGCCTCGAGGAAGCTACTACCCCATTACCTGCCTCACCTCAAGGAGCACAGCAGACAAAGATGCCCACGCCTTCAGACCTGCCTTTCTCCCAGGCCGACTGGAGCAGGAGGCAGGGATCTTCTGCTGTTCGTCACTCCTTCTCCTTTCCTCTCTGGGTCTGCTGGTCTGTCCCTCCCTCCTTCTTGGTACTGTGGAGCCCAGAAGCCAGAACAGCCTTGGTACAAGGGGGCAACAGAGAGCTCCCCTACTCATGTCCTGTTTCCAGGAATGGCTGAGTGCTACAATTAATACTAATAATTATGTTCTCTGGTCCGACCATTCTGGAGAGCGGCTGGGAACTGTTAGGAAAGGGACTAAAATGAATGTCTAATGCTCCGTATGCCCCAAGGAGGTCACCGAGAAGCGGAAAGGCTCCCTCTATGCCCAAATAGCGGTAGCAGCGCCTTCGGGGCTAGCAAAGACCTAGAAACAAAGAAGATGCCCACTGCCCAGGGAACGTGAATGCAATGAAACAGTCCTCTGCTGTAAGAAGCCACAAACATGTAGAGATGCACGGAAAGGCTTACAGGAACAGATACAAAGTCAAGTGAGGAGAAGCAGGAGAATCGCCGTACAGAGGTGACAATCATGGCAGCGAGCTGCATAAAGTCTAACTGCAAGCCCGGTGCCTGGCTCAGAGGAAGCGCTGTCGCAGCGTCCATGTCAGGCAGCGACATGCACAGATTATCTCCAGTGGTACGAACAACCCCAGGAGGTAGACGCTGTTATGACATCCACTTTACAGATGAGGAAATGGAGGCTGAGAAAAATCAGGTGGCTCGGCCGGAGCCACACAGCCAGGAAGTGTCCGAGGCTGGACTGAAACCCAAGAGTTGTAGCTACCCACTGCGCCAAGCTGGCTGCTTCTCATGACCAAGCCCGGCCCCAGAGAAGAGATGTGAAAACGCGCCTCTCTAACCTCTTGGCTTTGGGAACCACGCACACGGAACGCTGCGTGTCGTGGCGTTCTATGGCCTGGCTTATTTCCTTTTAAAACATTCTCTGTTATAAGGGATGACATCATGGAAGGGGGAGAGGTGGCGCATGCTAGGAAACGCAGGTGCTGCAAAAAATAAGGCTTCAGTACAGTTGTTAAAAATATATTTCTGTAAGCCATTTCTAATGGACTTTTTTACTGATACTAAATTCCGGATTTCCCCCCAAACCCCAATATATTCTAGTCCCCATTAAATCTCTCTTTTCTCTTTAGCCTCCTTAAAAAATAAAGTAAAATACTGAAGCTTCAACAAAACTCAAGCAGAAAACAATGGTCAATGTTAGGAGCACAGGGTCAAAATTAAAGGACAGGGCCTTTTTGTATTAGCCCCTGACAAACCACATTTCACAGAAGGTCTGCTCAGAGGGTTTGTTGCACTAAAACCCCCTCCATCAATAGGTTTCCAATGAATAATGAATGATCGATGGCAGGGCAACAGAGGTGACTCAGCTCACAAACAGTAAGGGTGGGATAAAAACTTCACTCACAGTATAAAAAGGACCAATTCTAGGAAGCTGCTGTGTGGCTCCTAGGGAGAAGTCACTTACTTAAAACCTCAACAACAGAAGGTCTAACCCCACACTGTATCTGCACCATCACTGAGTACAGTTAAAGTCAGCCCAAACTGGCATCTGACATCACTGTATGACAAGAACGTTCCAGCTGTAAGAAACCAGGACACAGCCAATCAAAAGCTAAGCCCTGTCTGGTCTCAAGGAACAGAAACTGAAGGGGATGAAATTGCTAGGTCCTATCCAGGCATGAAGGAAGGAGGCATCTGGGGAAAACATCCCAGGACCGTTCCCATGCTCGCCCCCTCCCAGAGACCCCACCCTAGAAGCCATCCTTCACCATCAAGAAGTAACCATGGATCAGATTTCTTGCCTTCTCAATGGGTAGGGAAGGAAGAGAATTTGGAACTGAAAATAATTTTAATTAAAAAAAAAAAGGAACCATGGGTGATTTTTCTCTAAAAGAACAAACACAGGCTGGAGACAGAAGTAGAGAAAGGAAGGATTTGGTGAAGTGACTAGAAAAGATTCCCAGTGTGGGGTGGGAGAAGAGGCATTTAGGGGAGGGCTTTCAGACCCATCCAGGCCGAGAGAACACTCAGGAAGGGTAAAAGATCTCCCCAGACCAATCCTGGGGTGGAAGGAGAGTGGACCAGAGAGCCCTGCTCACCAGCACATACCGAAGGGGCGGGGGGGGGTGCCCAGGAGAAGACGTAAGTCAACACATCACATTCAGGAAATGCCAACCACCATGCTCTCTTCACCAAGTACCTAGGTGGTACAGGGCCTGGAGTCAGAAAGACCTGAGCTCAAATCCTGCCTCAGACTCTTACAACCTTTGTGATGCTGGGCAGGTCACTCTTAACCTCTATCTGCCTCATTTTCCTCATCTGTAAATTGAGGATAATAGCTCTTAAAGTGCAGGGTTGTCGTGGGGATCAAATAAAATTGTAAAGCACTTAGCAAAGTGCCTAGAACACCATAAGTGCCTAATAAATGCTTGTGTCCCCCACCTCCCCCCACTCCCAAGTGTCCTATGGTACCTCTTACCTCCGAGAAGGGGTAATATTCCTCTGCAAAATACTGGAACGCTAAGTAGTGATTGACCACCACCAACACTGCCAGAAGAAGGAAAGAGAAAGAGAGCGTCAGTCATTAGAAGAAAGGTCCACAAAGGGCCTTGCCACCCTCTGGCGGCTGCCCAGGCCTGGGTGGACAGCCCGTATCTCCAGAGCTCTTCCTCACAGTGACAGCACGGCAATCTCTGCCGAATTACATCCAATAGCAATGAGAACAGAAGTGCCAGTCTGAGGGGTGGGGACAACTCTAGGCTCTGTCCTCCCTGCCTGCATGGACTAGGGGCACCGGCACCGACGAGCTCCACGGGCTGGTCACTGACCCAAAGGTGGAGGGGCCTCAGAAGCAGCCTAGTCCAACCCCCTCACTTTAGAGAAGGGGAAACTGAGGCCCAGAGAGGGGCAGTCAGAGGGGAGTGGTCAGTAAGAGGCAGCACCGCTTCTGCTTGATGTTCTTTATCTATGAAGTAGAAGCTCGAACTAGATATCTGACAGCCGGGCCCTCCCGGCCCAGAATCCCACGACGACGGGGCAGGCATGGTTACCGTGGGTTCACAAAGAAGGAAACTAGCATTTATTAGGCACCTACTATGTGCCATACTCTGGGGTATAAACATGAAGAATAAAACCAGCCCTGCTCTCAAGGAGCTTATATTCTAAGTGAGGAGACGAGCACTTGAGCCCAGAACAGCCAGAGAAAAAGTGTGGCACCTTGGCCAGAACCAGGAGAGCTTGGAATGGGGCGGGGAGGGGGGGAATGTTGGTTTTGGGGCTCTGGCAGAATCCAGGACTGCCCCACTGCAGGAAGGGGCCAGGTGAAGGCGGATAACTTTACTGGGTGCCCAGGCTTTTTGTCAGTACAGGGGTTAACAAGAGACTCTTCTCATTCCCATTCAGCAGCAGATGGTAGGGTGGGGGTGGGTAATTCAGGCCCAGAATTTGGCAAGAGATGAGAAACAACAGGACCAGGAGGTGAGGAGTTGGGGAGGAAATGACAGCACAGATTTGATTTTGTTAACTATAGGGTTAAAATAGGGAAGGAAGAAAAGTAAAGTCACAGCAGAGATAATGTCAAAAAATGCTAAAGGATAGAGGCCTGGAGATGTTGAGGAGGGGCCAAGGACAGGGAGGGATGGAAGGGCCAAGGACAAGGAGGTTATGGTCAGGTGGACGACTGTCCGTTTTTGATTAAAGAAAAGGAGCGCTTGTGGGTGACGGTGAGCGCCCCAGCCTCACTGTCCCTGGGTGTGGCTAGGGTGGAGTGGAGGAGGTGGTCCTGGGATTGAAGGAGAGTGAGGGGGATCATATGGGCAGGAGCTGAGGAGGAGAGAAAGATTGTAGGCCAGGTGCTGAACTTGTTGAGGAAAGAGGGAAACATGAGAGGGAGGCATGACGGTCTGGGTCTGAATAGGGTGGAGAATGTTAACTGAGTGACTGTGGGGAAGGGAGAATCTGGAAGTCATCAGGGGTATTCTGACTTCCCCTCCAGGGTCAGTGGACTGAAAGGTGTCAATGACAACTCATGAGAGGCTCCCAGGGATTACAGCTCTCGCTCAGGGTCACACAGCTGGTAAAAGGCATAGCCAGGACTGAAAACACAAGCTGACTGATTTCAAGTTCAACCATCTTCCCATGACACTACATTGTAACCCTTGAATGAGATACTCAAACCTTCTGGCCTGTCTCCCAGGTCTAAAACAAGAAAAACCAAACATGTTCTATTTCTATTATGGGAGTAAAAATTAAATAATGAATGGCATAGCAACTACGGAGATGTTTCATATAAATCCAAAATATTGTTAATCTTGCTTCTTGTCAATTTTGTTTTTGGTAGATATTCTTCTCATCTTGGAGGGATAAGGAAGACAGACTCTCAGGGGTCTTTGTAAGAGAGTGAGTTTACAGACCAGAAAAACCAATACATGTTACAGGCCCAAAACCTCTCAGCTCCCAACAAAATTTCAATTTGCAATTCGAATTTGAATTTCCAATGTGGAAGACCATTTTCTCCAAAGAAGGGATGCATTCCCACTGTAACAGGTATCAAAAAGGACAAAAAGAGGGAGCCAGACCCTCATTCCCATCACTTCTTGGATGGCCCTCCTAACCTCATCCCTAGAGCGAGCAGCCCTGGTCTACTCAAACTTTCCAGTGTCCTGGGGGCCCAAATCCCCCTTGTCAAGCCAAAGCAGGAATGGAAACAGATTCTCCCTGCATTCACCCGATAGATTCCCCCCCAAATCGAGCCTCATTAACTTCCTTGCCTAAAGATGCCTTTCCTAGGGACAGGACCGGAGAGGACAAACAGGGAAGGGGAGCCTGCAGGGCCCTTCTCCAAGCTCTCTCATTTGTCTCTTAGCAAAGAAGAGTCCTCAGCCCTACCTATGAGTCAAAGGTCAAGTTTCCTGACTGACATAGAAAATTACAGCCAATTCCTAAGAGATTCAAAAAGGGAAGCCCCTCCCTGTACACCATGGAAGGTTCTGCAGTCCTGAGGGCAGTTATGGACCCTTTCCAAAGGAGGAAGGGAGTGGCTGAATTCCCCTCTGGGGCCCTAGAGTCCTTGTACCCAAGGCACACCCATTTCAGGAGTTTGGCTCTAGAAGAGACTCCCAGTGAACTCTCCAGGGGCAGGGGGCCTCAACGTGTCCAAGGACTGATGACCAGCTCCTTCCTCCAACTAGGGCAGAAAGGGCTGGCCATGGCAGCCCTTCTACAGGAAGAAGAGAAAGGAACTTCCTAGTGATAGAAATTCCCTTCAATCCCTGTCAGAGGCCAGGGCTATCAATAATAATTCACACTCAACATTCAATACTCCAACAGAACTGGGATCTCATCAATTAGGGAGTAGTCTCCAGTGATGCAGCTCTCAGGCCACTCATAACTACCCATCCTGGGCACCTTTTGTCCATGACCTCCTAAAAGTCTGGCCTCTGATGCAATGGGAACCTTCCTCACTTTCTCCCTCCTTCTTACCAAGAGAGTAGCAAGGGAATGCTCTGGCTGCCCCCCATTCTTGCCATATTTCCAGCCCACTTTCCTTTTCTAACATTCAGTTCCCTTATTATCTATCGCCATAGGCTGCTCACACTGTGGGACTCCCCACTTCTGGGGGTTCTTGGGAGGCAGCTGCCTAAGCAATAATCATGAGAACACCACCCTCATGTGCACAGGGCTTTACATTTGCACATCTATTATCCTCACCAGCCACCTACCCTTTCAGGCTGGTAGTCTTCTACCATTTTTAAAGATAGAGAAACTGAGACCCTGAGGGGCAGTGATTTGGTCAAAGTCACAAAGCTAGACAACAACAGGGCCAGGGTCAGCCCCAGTGACCAGAGGCCCCAGCTCCACTGGTCTTCCCAGGACCCCTCAGAGCCCCCAAAGTCTATCCATGTGCCAATGATGCTTTAAGGTATCTGTTCTTAGGGATTAAAATAGGTGTGACACTACTGTGCTGTAAATGACCAGCAGGTCGGTTTGAGAAAAACATGGAAAGACTTGCATGAAATAATGAACAGAACCAAGAGAACACTGTATGCAGCAATGGCAATACTGTTCAACGAATAACATGAATGACCGAGCTGTTGTGAATAAAACGATCATTCAAACCAACTACGAATGACCCACGCTGGCAGAGGCTGTCCACCGCCAGGGAAAGGACCTGTCTGCAGGGTCCGGACTGGGGAACTCCCCACGCAGGATCCCCACCACGGGCTGGCCTTCTCTAACGCACCAGGGATGGGGGGAGGGGAGACTCGGACTCATAATGGAACAAAAAATAAATCATTTTTTAAGAGTTAAAAATAGTAAAGGGTGACTGCTATTAATGCTCCCCACCCTTGACCTGGAGCCCTGGCCTGGAGCTCTCCCTGGACTCAGCTGTGCAAGGATGAGGCACAACCAGATGGAGACCCTGACAGCAGTGAGGGGAACAGCATCAGTGCGTGCACACAGACACAGACACACACGCACACACACAGCCCTCCAGAGAGGGAAGGGCCTCGCCTCGGGCTGCCCTAGGGCTCGGGCCTGCCTTGCAGCCTCCTGTGGCTGGGCCAGGCTCCTCCTGACCTCTTTCAGGAAGCCCTCCCTTGGTCCTACAATGTGTGTTTACACCTCCTCTTCTCCTGCTTCTCTATTTCTGTTGTGACTGTCCCATCTTTCCCTCAGCCTGCCCCAATTAGCCTAAGAATTCTCAGACTGTGAGGCCCTTCTCTGCTCCACTGCCCTGGAAGGATGCTGCCAACAGAAGGGCAACGCAGATCAGAAAAGGGGGAGCCCCGAGCCTTTCCTATCAGGCCATGGCCCACCTGGTACTCACCACAAGAAAGGATGAAGTTGGGCGAGGTCAGCATGATGAAAGGGAAAGTCTGAAGGAGGCCAAAGTAGACGAGGTTGGTGAAGAGGCCCATGCCAATCAGGAAGCTGGGGAAACGCTCAAAGACGTAGAGGCCCACCAGCACAGCTGTGGAAAACTGAGACGAGCAAGGAGGCTCAGGATTCACCTCTCCTCCAGACCCCCCTCTACCCTCCCCCACACTGGGTCCTCCTCAGGGCTGGGCAGCTCTGCTGGCCTCCACTGCTCTGCCCTGCCCTGCCCCTTCCGGGGCTCAGTGTGCTTGGATCCGCACACTTCCCAGTCTAGGGCTGCAGCTGGACACCACCCCCTCATCCTCCGAAGGCTCAGGAAGGACCTGGGGCAGGGAAAGGAACTAGTCAGGAGGGTGATCTGGAAGGAGCTGAACTGAACCTTTTAAGATCACAGGACCATAGCTCTTGAGCAGGACAAGACCTTAGTGGCCATTCAGTCCAACCCTTCATTTTACAGATGAGGAGACTGAGGCCCAGGGAGATGACGTGACTTGCCCACACAGCTCAGAGCAGCCCTGGCAGGATTCGTGTCTCTGAGTCTAACAGGCCGTCTCTCCACCCTACAAGGCTGACTCCTGGCCAACTCCAGAATTTGACAGTTCTTTGTACGCTGGTAAGATGGGCCTGGAGGGACAATGAGATGTCCCATCTACCCTCTTGGCCAATCCTGGTCTAAAACACTTCCCGGGAAGGGGCCTTAGAAGGCATCTCTTCCACCCTTCATGTGACAGGAAGCTGAGGCACACAGACAGAGTGAGCTTCCTTGCATTCACGGAGAGACAGACCACACAGCAGTAGGAGGTCCCCCATTCCTTCTTTACCTACACTTGTGAGCACAAGCTACTTTATCAGACCAGCAAGTCATCAAGCAACATCCCTGGGCAGGCAGGTCAGCCTTGAGGTATGAGGCCCAGGAAAAGGATTTCTTCCTGGTGATGCCTCAGGGGGGCAGGCAGCAGTGGGGAGGGGGGAAGACCAGGCCCTCACCCAGATCATGTACTTGATGATGCGACTGGTGGCCACCGTGTATTCTTCTATCAGCTCAGCCAAGTAGTAGAGTCCAGCCGCTGGAAAGAAGAGGCAGGAGAGACCGCTAGGCTGGCTGGCCCAGACCTTTCACAGGATCCCCCAACAGTGAGAAGTACCAGCCCTTGACCCTGCCCATACTGAGTGATGGTCACCAGACTCCAGCCTACTGCCGGCCTCTCCTGGTTCACCCAAGCACCACCTTAGGAGGCTCCTTCACTCCTACACAACCTGACCCCTGGGTTTGTGAGCCCTGAAGGTGGGCGTTACCTAGAGAACTTTATCAACGGCAATGGCTCTTACCAGGCTCTTGGACATTTCTGCCAGTAGAGAGAACTGGAAGGGAGCCTAGCGATGGTCGATGCCCCCAACTTGACACCTCCCGGCAAGATGAAACTACCGACAGGCAAAGACTTGTCCAAGGTCACCCAGCAGAGACAGCACAACTCGGGATCCCAGACTCCCAAGCCAAGTCTTTCCACTGCCACACCATGTGACTGACTTCCTTACCTCCTTCCCAACCCAGCCAAGGAGTCAAACCAGAAACCACTTTCCAGGGTCTGTGATCCAGTCCTTAGGAGAGCCCTCTCCTCTGGTGGAACTCTAAAGCATCCTCACCTCCACCCTCTGATTCCTGTCTCTACCACCCCCTAAATTTTCAGCAGGAAACAGGCCCACCTTTCAAGAAGCACCTCTCACCCCGACCCAATTCCTAACAACCCAACAGATCTATAACCTCTGAATGCAGGTCCTCTCTCCAACAATGCAGAGGCAACCCTCGGTCCTGGGTGAATGTCCTCCATGTCACCCCGTCAGTCTGACACCAGGATTCCCCCACAGTGCTGGGGCCTGCTTCCCACTCTCCGGCAAGCATGGACTCCCTTATGAATGTATCCCTCAATACTGATCACTGACAGGCTTGTCTTTTTTTTTTTTGGTCATATAAATGTAGGCCCAGATCTAGAAAATAACTGCTCAAAATGTGAAGGGAGGCAGAGGAAGTTGGAGCACTCTGTACCATGAAGCACAATCGTATAACTGAGTAAGAAGGAGCCAGCCTGAGACTAAATGACAATAATCATCATTTACTCCTCTGCGTGGTGGATGCCAGCCCTGGTACCAGGGAGCCCCAGGGTTAAACCCAGGCTCTTGGATTACAGGATCACAGACAAGTAACCTAAACTTTCAGTGCCCTAGAGCAAAGTGCTGTTAAAAATTCTCTTGGCATCTTTTTCTAATCACTTTCATTTCCAAATCTATGCTTCCTGCCCATAAGCCATTGTTCACATGGAAACACTTTTTACAAAGAATTGGGAATGGGAAAATAATCAAGTGAACTAAAGCCTCAGTGAAGGCCCAAGGCAGACCCCTCCCTTTTCCACATCCGTGGCCCCTCACTTCATACACTGAACAGCACTAGCTGCTGTGAATGAATCGGGCCTGGGGCAAAGTCACCATGCACAAGTGGGTGTGGGCACGTCTTGGGTGCAGTGGAGATAGCTGGCCTCAAAGTCCAGAGGCCCTAGGTCCAAGTCCAGCATCTGACACAGAGTGCCTGGCATGCCCTAGGCAATCACAGACCCTCTTGGAGAAGCCCACCTCCAATGGCAGAGGATGCTTCCTCCCCATACTAACGAAATCCTCCCCCCAGTTAATGTAATTTGACCCACACCACATCTGACTCTCACATCAACCTGCGGGGGGGGGGGAGGCCCAGGACTTGAGCCCCTTCCAGCCCAAGTCTCCCAATTTGGGTTTTACTGGGCCTCTTTACAGACAACGAGGCTCATAAATGTGACAGCTGGTCCACAGTCACAGCCAGCAAGCTCAGACCACCTCCGGGGACCTGCAGGTGCCCGGGACCCTCCCCCGCCCCCAGAATGTGGTCCCATGATGCACAACACAATCATGGGGCCAGGAACAAGCCCCACCAGCTAAGGGGCGTGTTGGGAGGCACCTATGCCCAGAGACTCCTCCTGCCCAGACTCTCTTGGGCTGCAGGCACCCAGTCCCGGCACTAACCCTGCCCGGCTGGGGTGTCTCCTTCTACCCAAGTACACCCTCTAGAATGCCCCCATCCACCTCACCCCAGTCAGCAGTGCAGGCAACTTAAGTTTGCTCTGGTATTTTTTCAGGTATCCCTCCATCAATTCCTGAAAAACCCCTGGTCCCATCTTTAGAGGCCACCATCACAGAAACCTGATCTTCACTGACAATCTCTTCCCAATTCCCTAAGCAGGCATGGCCCTTCCTCCTCTTCCTCCTCCTTGTCCCCAGCTGGGATCCTTCCTGCTGCCTCTGACCCCCAAACCCTGCTCCTTCTTTCTCCATCCCCTCCTAGGACAGACCCCAGCACCCCTCCAAGTTTTCTCCCCTGGAGAGAACTTCCTCACTCACTTCTTTTAAAAATTCTCTTCCATCCTTACAAACCCTTCCCTTCTCCTTGGAGAAGGTGGAGTCCAGAGGGGTCCCTACAGAGTGCAGGCGGGCCATGTCCTTGAACCAGACACTCTTTGGGTGAACCGATGAGAAGGAAGCAGGGAGGGAGGTCCTGAGGCTAGTGGGGATCAGGACACACACGTACATGGAAGAAGGAAAGGCAAGGAGGACGTGGAGGAGGAAAGGGAGGTGCCCTGCCCAACTTACCAAAGGGGGCTGAAGGAGGAACAAGGAGAGGGAAGCGTATAATTAGGGGAGAAGGATCCTCTGGACAGAGGGAGGGGTCCCACAGAACACAGTGTGAGGGAGGTTCCCAATACAGGCGGCAGAGAACCTGATGTAACACTGAGGGGATGAGGCCCCGCTGGCATATTAGGGGAGGGTCTGAAGTCCATGGAATGTGGGAGGCTACCTTGTCAATCTCCCTAGTATACTGGGGGAGAAACACCTCCCTACATGATGCCGGAAGATCACGCTGTATAAATGGGGAGGGTGCCGAGTCCCTACAGAGTCCCCCGTATGCCTGAGAAAGGAATGGCTGGTTTGGGCAGAGTCTCATGCTATTAGGAAGCCGGCCCCTGGCACATGAGGGAAACCCTGGTACGTGAGGGGAGTCTAAGAGACCTCTAGCATTGGGAGGGTTGGGGAAGGTCCCACCTAGGAGGAGAGGAAGAGGGGAAGAAAGAGAGGGGAGAGGAGGAGAAGGAAGGAGAGGGTCTCCTGGTACCCCGCTGGGGTACAGGGATCTGGACTGGGAGGAAGGACCATGCATCCTGGGGGAGGGGGGGCAGGAGGGCATCCCGCTATGCATTAGGGGGAGGGTCTCGCCATATTCTGCGAGGTGGGGGTGAGTCCCACAGCATACTGGGAGGAACGGGCTCTCAATATCCTGGGGGCTGAAGGAGGCCACAGCATATGGGGGAAGGACGAGCTGGGCAGGGAAGGGGAAAGTTATTGTATACGGGAGCTGGGGGGGGGGTTCCCTCTCCTGGTCTGGGAAGTCTCCGCAGAGCACAGGAGTCTGGGGTCTCCCGGTGTAGGGGTTCCCACAATACACTGGGGGGGGTCTGCCGGTAGGGGACATCTCTCGCTATGGAGGTCCCCACAGTACATGAGAGTCCCGCGTTGCGGGGTCCCCCTCAGTACATTGGGGGCCTCCCAGTCTGAGAGTCTCTCCCTAGGGGGTCCCCTCATCATTTGTCGAGGGGCTCTCGCTGCGGGGGTCCCTCTCAGTGCACTGGGGGCTCCCAGTCTGGGGGCGCTCCCTAGGAAGATCCCCACACCACCCGTCGGGGGGGCTCTCGCTGCGGGGATCCCCCTCAGTGCACTGGGGGGCTCCCAGTCTGGGGGCGCTCCCTAGGACGGTCCCCACACCACCCGTCGGGGGGCTCTCGCTGCGGGGGTCCCCCTCAATGCACTGGGGGGCTCCCAGTCTGGGGGCGCCACTTGGGGGGGGTCCCCGGGCGCGGCGGGGCGCTCACCGATGGCCAGGGTGACGAAGGCCACCTGGATGAGCAGCGACAGCCAGCTCAGCACGTACATGAACCACATGGTTCGCCCGCCCGCCGCTCTCTCCGGCCTCCGCCCCGGCCTCCCTCGCTCGGGCCGCGGGGACACGGAGCCGCCGCCGCCGCCGCCTCAGGCCCCGCCCCCACGCCGCCGACGTCGCCGAGAGGAGCCGCGGCCCGGAGCGCGGCGGCGAGCGCCCCACAGCGGCGCCTGCAGGCGGGAGGCCGAACTGCAGCCGCCGCGCCCTCCGGCCGGCGCAGAGCCGGGAGGGACCTCGACGTCATCTGCTCCAACCCTCTCATTTTGCAGAAGGGGAAACTGAGGCACAGGGCTTCGGAGAATGACGCCTCGATGGCAACCCTGGCTCTTCCTCCTTCCTACCCGTGTGATCTGTCTCAAGTCCCTCCCAAGCACTGGGGGAGACCAAGCTTCACCCAGGACACTGCAATGGAGCGGCCCCGGGTTAAAGAGCCCGGGTCTGGTCCCTTTGTGCTAGTGGACGAGCCAGTGAACTTCCTCTGACCTTCCAGAAGACCTCCGGGGGCCCTCCAGCTCCCAGTCTGTGATCCGGGAGATCCCCGGACTCTGTCGATGCTCAGCCAGGTCACAATGGGACTGCAGTGTTGGGTTCTAGGCACCACGGCTCAAAATGACATTGATTAAGTGGAAAGTGACCAAAGGAGGGCGACCGGGACGGTGCCAGAAGGAGACCACCTCAGCGTGGAGAAGAGACATGGAGGGAGGTGGGGGCGGTCACCCCATTATAAAGCCTGGGGAGCTCAGGAGACCAGAACCTCCAATGCCAGGGCTGCCCAGCCACTTCTGGTGTCCACACCCGGCACCCAGTTCTTATCTGTGGCTCAAGAATAGCATGGTCATCAACTGTACCTGGTAAACAGTCTGGCCGGATGGGCTAAGCCAGGCCCAGGGTAACCAACTGGCCCCAACCCTTCCATGAGTTAGGGGGGTGTCTATTCCAAGCGAGAGAAGACTTCCCCCAGGGGAATGGGCCAAGGAAAACACTTGGTTCCCACGTAGGTGCTGTGCAGGCTTAGAGCCTGGCCAGACTTGGAAGACGCCAAGGTCATCCACTGCATCCTGGGCCATCGCTGGTCGTACAGACTTTTGTCCTGCTACTAGACTCACTGACTCTGGCAGAGAGTGGGAGGCTGATGACTTTATGCCACCCTGCCTCCACCCTGCCTCAATCCAGTTCAGGAACAAGCCATAACATCAAAGACAAAAACCAAACACCAGCCCTCCCTGAGAGCAAGGAAAATGGATGATCTGGGGAGGGGCTCTTTGTATCCCCACTGCTTGGCACACAGTAAGCGCTTAATAAATGCCAGACACAATCAATGCCTTCGGGTATTCAGAGGGCTGTTACAGGCCCTTGTTCCGCTCAGCCCCTGAAGGCAGGGCCAGGAGCAGAGGGCACAGGGGGCAGGTCTGCTACATGAGAAAGAGCTTCTTAAAAATTGGAGCTATTCCAAGGTGGAACAGACGGCTTCCCATGGCAGTGGGTTCTCCATCCGTGGAGGTTTCTAAGAGGAGGCGGGATGCAGGAGAGGAAATTCCAAATGGTTCTGGAATCCCCATTTGACAAATGAGGGAAATGGTCAAAAATTGTCCCGATGCCATGACTTGACCATCGGACTGGTCCTTGAAGGCAGGGACTGTCTTTTGTCATTCTTTGTATCCCCAGCACTCAGCACAGTGCCTGGCACACAGTAGGTGCTTAATAAGTGCCTGTTGGCTTGGCTTGCCTGAGTTAGTGGTGGATCTTTGGTAGGATGAGAAGCCAACCAGTCCTGGGCTCTTCCTCCAACCTGAGATCTCCCACTCTCAGAACAAGGGCCAGACAGCCCCAAGCATGTTCTAGAGGGCACTCATGGGAACAGCCCTGGAATGCTCAGTCTTTCCAGAATGGATTAAAAGTTCTAGCCCTCTGTCCTCTGGCAGCATCAAGGAGGAAAGAAAGCCTCTCACAAGGGCTTACTATTGGAGGGGAGTAGAGTTGGAGTTGTGTCCAACTCTTTGTGATCTCAACTGGAGTTTTCTTGGCAAAGATACTGGAGTGGTTCATCATCTCCTTCTCTACTCATTTTACAGATGAGGAACTGAGGCAAACAGAGTTGAATGACTTGCCCAAGGTCACACAGCTAGTAAGTGTCTAAGGTCAAATTTGAACTCAGGTCTTCCTAACTCCAAGAAGAGTACTCTATCCACTGTGTCACCTCACTGCCCAAGGGGAGTAACGAGATAGCCCTTACTCCTTAATCTTTTTCATACACTGGACCCCAGGAAAGACCATGGCCCCTTCTCAGAAGAATGTGTTAAATGCATAAAATGCATAGGATTACAAAGGAAATCAATTATATTTAAATACAACTATAATTATATTAATTTTTTAAATTTCCTGGCACCTAGGTTAAGAATCCCTGCCTATCTCCTCTGTAGTACATGAGATGAGGAGGAAGGCCAACAGACTGTCATAAAAGGGCTTTTCAACCCAAAGATGACCAGAGGAGAGAGGGAAGAAGTGAATTGTGAGGAGGGGGGATTTGCTGCCCCCGTGTGGCAACCATAAGTAAGAGGCCTTGGGTCTGCGGAGGGCAGGAAAGCTTCTTATTAATTCATTTGTTCAATAAACAGGTATTAAGCACCAACATTGTGCAGAGAACCAGAAGCTGAGGAAAACACAAAGTTCTTTGAAATTATAACACACCATGGAATCATCAGCTCTCGCTCATACAACGTGGACCCGGAATGGCATAGGGGATTTATTGGTCAGTCCAGCCAGATGAAGCTGGAGATGAGGAGACGGAAGGGTAGGGAAGTGACAATCACCCACGCAGACATGTGGACACATACATGCCTGCACATATCCAGGAGTGCGCGCGCGTGCACACACACACACACACACACACACACACACACCCTGGAGAAAGCCATCAGGAGGTGTGAGGGTCTTCTGCAGCCTTTCTGCTGCTGTCCCTTAAACTGTGAAAAAAGCTCCAAGCTAATTCACAAGCCCGTCAACTCTGCCCTGAGCTGTGGATCTAGGAAGGGATCAGTGGAGAAGAAAGAACCAGACCGTCCCCTCCATCCCATTACTTCCAGGGGCTCACACTAAGCCAAAAATTGTACGGACAGTCTCCTCCTTTTCATTCAAATATTCCCTCCTTGCCCTCACCCACCCCAAATTTTGCTAGCATTGTGTGTGTGACTGTGTATAATATACTTCTATCCCCAGCACCGAGCCTAGGACCCTGAACACAGTAGACACGTAATAAATGCTTGCTTACTGAATGATTGATTCATAGGGATGAATTGGACTCAAGAAGTATCTCCTTTCTTCAACTCTGCTGCCTTGGACTTCCCCATCTCCCTACCTTTGCTCAGGCTGTTTGCCCTACCTGGAACACCCTCTCCCTCCCATCTTGACTACTGAAATTAGACCCATCCTTCCAAGCCCAACTAACATGGAGCTTACCTTGAGTCAGCCAGAAAGGATTTTTCTCCTCACACTTCATATAGAACTTTATTTGCACCTCTCTGATGAACACCCAACATTATTAAATTTCTCTTATGTCTATAAAAGACTAAGAGCCCCATAACACCAGGAGCTGAGGGAATAAAAGCCCTCCACTGCTGTCTGTGTGTGTGTGTGTGTGTGTGTGTGTGTGTGTGTGTGTGAGAGAGAGAGAGAGAGAGAGAGAGAGAGAGAGAGAGAGAGAGACAGAGAGAGAGAGAGAGACAGAGAGACAGAGACAGAGACAGAGACAGAGAGACTGAGAACAGGAACTGTGCCTCACTATTAACCCCTGGAGTCCCAGAAGGGAAGGGATTATCATCCCCAAGGACCAGGACTGCAGTAGAGTTCTGAAGCCCCCTGAGGGCAGGGGGGACTCCAGGTACCAGGCTATCCCTATAAGACCTACAGAGGGCATGGGTGGTCAACCCTCTGATACCCAGGGCTCCCTGGGGCAGTGACTGCCCCTGTGCCCCTTTCTGTGCTAACTGCCCTGAGCAGACAATAAACACCACATTATGAGGAGGGACATAAGAAGAGAAAGACCCACTTAGACCATCTGCCACTCCAATTTAAATCTCCCCCCAGCCTTGACTCTATGCCACACGATTTCTTGCTGGGCGTGGAGAAGCCAGATGCTGAAGGAAAGGAGAGGGGATTGATAGATACCAGCCTAGAGAGAGAAAGGTCAGACCTGTCTTCTCAGGATACCCATTCTGAGCCCATGAGGCAGCAGGGCAAGGGCATTTGGGGCTAAGGGTGAGATAAATTCTGAAGTCCCCATCCCTGACCCTCAGTCTTCCCACCTCCAGCACTCAGATCCAATCAGTGGACCGCGGCCACATCCCTGGTCCTCACTCCCATCCACGACCCTCAGTGCCCATTCCCAATGCTCAAACGTAGCCTGAGCCCCAAAGTGTCTCCAGAGCTCAGCCCTCAGTCCCCTCCCTGACTCTGGGCTCTCTGGTCAAGGAACCAGGCTCTTCATATTGTACCACCTCCTTCTTCACCCAAAAGCTAGTAAATGGTGCTCCTTGGAAAGTGCCAGAACACCCCTCCTGCAGAAAATGCTCCTTTGATTGACTCCTTCCTCTTCCTCCTCTCTCGTCCTTGAAATCCACCATCACTGCCCCCAAAGCTGCAAAAGGACACTTCACATTGTCATAATTAAAATCCTATGCTCCTACCTTGGCATTTGGCCTATAGTCCAAGGTGGGGAGAGGGCATCAGTCCCATTCCCAGCAAGGCCCTAGGAGGAGCCAAGCTAGACAGCTTGGAGGGGGAGGCCCTGGGTGGGGCACAGAGTCTTAGCTGCTCCCTTTCCCCCCTTTCTGCTGTGACGGACACCAGCTCCTGTATCTTCACTCTGAATCAAAGTCACTATTGCTGAAGAAGCAGTGACTGCATGTTCACCCCAGTGGCTAATTCCACCCTGGAGCCCCTACTCCCCTAACATTCCCCTCCCAGCATGGAGCACTGCCCTCCAGTCTTCCTGGAGGACCACAGGGTGGCTGAAGGTGGGGGTGAGTCTGAGAAAGGAAGGGAGGATGGAGGGAGAGAAGGGCCAGACGGGGAGTGGGCTCCCAGGTTCAGACCT